TTTACAGACAAAGTCGCTTTGATCCGTTCTGGTCTGGATACCATGTTAATGGCAGTCTCTGAGGATGTAACACGAGCACCTGCTTGTCCAGTTTTGATGGATTCATTTCAATTGGTGAAACCCGAGGATGTGACAAGATACTTGGAGGAATGAGGCCAACCACATGCATCCTGGACCCCTGCCCATCCTGGCTTCTAAAGGAGGCCAGAGGGGGATTGGCTGAGTGGGTTAAGGTGGTGGTTAATGCTTCCCTTCGGGAAGGCAAGATTCCAGCGAGCTTAAAACAAGCTATAATAAAACCGCTGTTGAAGAAACCATCACTGGACCCCACTCAATTCGTCAACTATCGGCCTGTTTCCAATCTCCCCTTTTTGGGCAAAGTCGTGGAACGTGTGGTGGCCTCACAACTCCAGGCATTCTTGGTAGACACGGATTATCTAGAGCCGGCACAGTCTGGCTTTAGGCCGGGACATGGTACCGAGACAGCCTTGGTCGCCTTAGTGGATGATCTGCGCCGGGAGCTCGACGGGGAGTGTGTCCCTGTTGGTGCTGCTGGACCTCTCAGCGGCCTTCGATACCGTCGACCACGGTATCCTTCTGGGACGCCTCGCAGGGATGGGTCTTGGAGGTACTGTTTTGCAGTGGCTCCGGTCATTCCTGGAGGGTCGATCTCAGAAGGTGTTGTTGGGGGACACCTGTTCAACCCCACAACCTTTGTCTTGTGGGGTTCCTCAGGGCTCAATATTGTCTCCCATGTTGTTTCACATCTACATGAAGCCGCTGGGGGAGATCATCCGGAGTTTCGGGGTACGGTGTCATCTGTACGCGGATGATGTCCAACTCTGTCACTCCTTTCCACCTGCTACTAAGGAGGCTGTCCAGGTCCTGAACCGGTGCTTGGCCGCTGTGACGGTCTGGATGAGGGCGAACAAATTGAAATTGAATCCAGACAAGACAGAGGTACTCCTGGTCAGTCCCAAGGCCGAACAGGGCATAGGGTTACAGCCTGTGTTGGATGGGGCCGCACTCCCCCTGAAGATGCAGGTTCGCAGCTTGGGTGTGACCCTGGACTCATCGCTGAGCCTGGAACCCCAGGTTTCGGCGGTGACCAGGGGAGCATTTGCACAGCTAAAGCTTGTGCGCCAGCTGCGCCCGTACCTTGGGAAGTCTGACTTGGCCACGGTAGTCCACGCTCTGGTTACATCCCGTTTAGACTACTGCAACGCTCTCTACGTGGGGTTGCCTTTGAAGACAGCTCGGAAGCTCCAACTAGTCCAACGCTCGGCAGCCATGATTTTAACAGGAGCGGAGCGCAGGGAGCATACAACCCCCCTGTTGCGCCACCTCCACTGGCTACCGATCTGCTACCGGGCTGAATTCAAAGTGCTGGCGTTGGCCTTTAAAGCCCTAAACGGTTCCGGCCCAAGCTACCTATCTGACCGCATCTCTGCCTATGAACCCACCAGGACTTTGAGATCTTCCGGGGAGACCCTGCTCTCGATCCCGCCTGCTGCTCAAGCTCGGCTGGCGGGGACGAGAGATAGGGCCTTCTCGGTGGTGGCTCCTCGGCTGTGGAACTCCCTTCCTACGGACATTAGACTAGCACCATCTCTAATGGTATTCCGCAAAAAGGTGAAGACCTGGATGTTTGTGCAGGCGTTTGAGTAATTTAGTGCAATCTGGTAATGGAACATAGGAATGGAACAATGGACGACGAACCTGGACTACGCTTGGATGATGAGAAGATTGGGTACGGTTGTTTTTTGTAATAATTGTGCATTGTAATTGCTTATTGGTAATTTATGGATAATGTGTTAAGTCAATTGTTATATGTTGTATGGAACCACTGCTGTTTCTACTGTTTTTACTGTTTGTGAACCGCCGTGAGTCGCCTTCGGGCTTGAGATACAGCGGTATATAAGCAAAGTAAATCAATAATAAAGTAAATAAATTTAACTTTACTCATTGACTTGTCATGTGTGCATGAACATGTGTATGAGTCCCCTTTGCGAGATAGAGGAGTATATAAATAAAGTTTTATTGTTATTATTATTACTTCCAGATGCTTATGAATTTGGGGTGATTCCATTAATTTCACAGGCTTTGCTTAGGGAAGCCATAGGCAAAGGTGGCTTGATTCTTCAAGTTATTTAGTCAAAGGAGGCACATCTATATTATTATTTAGTATGTTGGAATCAGAAAAAAATGTATTTTATGGCTTTGGAATCTTTTAATTGTGGGCATCAGATCAGTTTTTTGAATGACAGAATAAAGATTGAGCTTAAGGTTGCCTTCCTCTACTCTCCAGATGTGTCATATTTTCCTGAGCATTGCTTCCTCCAAATCTATTCCCCTAGAACTAAAATATTTATTGGCCTCTTGATTTCTAACGTTTTATGTAGCCTCAGCTCATCTTCAGCATCACAGGGGCTGGAAATGAACTCTCAATGTACACTTGTGCTGCAGCCCAACATTTAGCTAGTTATTCAGAGCTGTAGGCTTGTTTAAAGGCTATTGCTATTGTACATTTAAGAAATAGTGCAGGCAGGAGAAGAGGTATTTATGAAAATGACATGGCACTACTCTGAAGATGGACACACATTCCTACTCTAAGGATATAGCCTAACACAACCTAACATGGGTTAAAATTACAGGAGAGGAGACTCCATCTGGACATTAGGAAGAAATTCCTGACTGTAAGAGATGTTCAGCAGTGGAACTCTGCCTCAGAGTGTGGTGGAAGCTCCTTACTTGGAAGCTTTTAAACAGAAGCTGGATGGCCATCTGTCAGGGGTAATTTGTGCTTTTCCTGCATGGCAGGGGGTTGGACTAGATGGCCTATGTGGTCTCTTCCAACTCTTTGATTCTACGATTCCACCAGTTGTGGCTGTAAGTAATGTATGGAGTTGTCACTGACTGTCCACATCTCGAGGGGGGCATATTTTAAAATATGTGCTCTTTGTTATGGTCTCAGTGCTGACCACTTCTGTTTTCCTATCCAGCTGCTCAACTCTCCCCCCCCCCCTTTTTTTTTTGAACTGGCCACCCCAGTTAGCAAAAATATATGTCTTGGAACTGAAATGAAACAGAAAACATGGGCAGCATTGTTCAGAAGTAAACATTATCTTTACCGTAAAATAAAGAAATAAATACATGCAGGAGCAAAATGAACACATCTCCCTCCCTCAGTTTTTAGCTTGATTTCCCTCACAGCTACTCTTTTAAAAACCCTATAAAATCTTGTCTAGATTAGGAATGAACTGATTTAAGCAAGCAAACATCATAGTACGAGGGTTATCCGGAAAGTATGGTTACAAGGCAGGTAGCTCTCGTGGGGAATTTTCGCAGGGGAAGTCGGTATCACTTCTGTGTAGCAGGAAGCCAGTGGAAGCAAATGAGCAGGGTCAGACGTCAATAGCTCATTGACTGGCATTGTGGTGAAAGTTAGAGATGAATGTCCTCATTCTGTTTCCCTCCAAGTGCGAAGTTTGCGCTGTAATATGCTACTTAAATGCTAAGGGCATGAACGCCGCTGCGATGCATTGCGAAATCGCTTCAGTTTATGGAGAGGACGTAATGTCAGGACAGAATGTGACAAAACGGGTACAGAATTTATTGTGAGACCATGAAGAAACTTCGCAGAGCCATCCAAAACAATGGTCATGGGATGCTGATGGCGGGAGTCTGTCTCCTTCCTGACAATGCGTGTCCACACACTGATCATGCAACACAAGAGTTGTTGACTTAATTTGGTTGGGATGTTTTAAGTCACCTCTCTTACAGCTCTGATCTTGCACCCAGTGACGATCATCTGTTCACTAAATTGAAGGAATACCTTGGTGGAAAACTTTTCCGATGCCACCATGGTGAAAATTGAAGTGACGAACTGGCTGAAAAAGGTGGAGGGAAACTTCTATGACACAAGCATCAAAAACCCGTTCCACGGATGACAAAATGTATTGGACTGAATGGTGATTATGTGGAAAAAGAATGCAATAGCTATGCTACAATCTATGTAAGTTTTATTAAGATATATTAATTCTTTATATTTTAAAAAAATCTTGTAACCTGACTTTTCGGATAAACCTCATAGCTTTGCCTAATTAATTAACTCACTGCAGGGGGTGGAATTGGGACTTCTTTTCAGGAAAGAAAAATGGTTTTGAAATCATTAAAGTGTTATGCAGAGTTCCTGCAGGGCATCAGAAGCTGTGTTCAGTGATACAAAATCTTTTCATTTACATTTGTTATTTGCATCTGTAAATGATTAACATGGAACTTCCCCACAAAATCAAAAAGAGAAGAAGTATAGGAAAAGCATTTTAGAAGTGTTGCTGTGCAAGATGCAGAACAGCTCCCTGACTAGAAGTTCAAGGCAATTGGTTGAACAAAGGACAGACATCCTCAGACTTGTCACATACTTTGTCTGGGACAACTCCATCCATTGTATCCAAGTGTGTGTTTTCTTACCCAACTCTACAAAGAAATTGCTTCACATGAGTTTTCTTAGACAATTAGTGTTTTGTTCAGTTCTGTCCTTTGAAACACAATCTATAGCACAGGATTCATGGAAGGTTTCCCATCCAAGTACTAACCAAGGTTGACTCTGCTTAACTTCCAAGATCAGACAGGAAGTAGTCCTTTATTTAGATGACTATCATCTAGATCTTCTAAATGCCTTTAAGAAGCATGGTATCTACAGATAAAATCCTTATCCCAATTAAAGAGTTGGAAAAACTGAACAGGCAGAAATGTAAGATTAATCTCATTTTTTCCTATTATGGTTTATACTCTAATGACAGGAAAATTTCACTCTTTGTTAAGCAATTCTGTGAAAGGCCACAGCTCCACTTCCTACACCAAGAAAGAGCCACTTATATGACTAAATTACCACCTACTTGTGTTACTAGCATTATCATAAAACAGTGCAGATTATATTGCATCAAGAAAAACAGTTAGATGTCAGCAGTGAAACACAACCAAAAAACAAATCAAATAAATCAGGTTTTGGTAAAGATTTTATTTTAATTATAAAACAGGGAAAAGGGAATCCCTCAGAAGTGGCAGACTCACCATTTGGGCTAAGCCTCTGCTCTCACAAAAGGGCTTTCAAGTTCCCCTGCCTATTGTCAGCCACTTTAGATTGGAAATGCATCAATTTACATACATATACATGTCTTATACTTGTACATACTTATAAATACATGGGACTGAGTGTAGTGCTGGATGTATAGATGGATATCCTTTCCAATCACTCCAAAACTGGAACTCTTTACTATCATACGTTAATAGGTAGGGGATGTAACCATTAGGTAATTTATGCCCTTGAATGGAGAGCCAGTCTATAAATGCCACTTCTTCTAACATGCCCCACAATACATGAGCTCTAAGTGTTATTGCACGCAATGAAAACAAAGCTCTTCCTATCACAAGAATAGTAAACAACTCATTAAAAGTAGGAGAACAGATCAAATTCCTCGATGCAAGAGGCAAAATCTCCCTTCAGTGAAAATGAAACTACAATCCTGCATACACTTCTTTGGAAGTAAAGTCCACTGAAATCAGCAAGACTCACTTCTGCATAAACATTGCTAGGATCATACTGCACTTTCCAAAAACTGTGAGAAGGAAAGTGCTAAGAAGCATGGTCAAGTAAGTTCCAGGGCTTTTTCCATTCCTCCAGCTGAGCAGATGTATTAATCAGCTGAAGAAAGGCACACAAAAAAACAGACAGAAGGAATGTTTCAGATGGTATACATAAGTAAAAATCAACCAATTGGCATTTCCATAGCTGCAATCAACAAAGTAGATCCTTTTAAGTTTAGCAGAGCTGGAAAAAAGTAAATATATAAAATTTTGATGTGTCTATAAGGAATAGAGGGAAATAATTATTAAGTTAGTTATTCAGTGCTTTTACAAACATCAGCAGGATAATTTTATAAAGATATTACAATACTTTTTACCTGCTGATCTCTTCCCAACATAAAAATCCACATGAAAGCCAGTTAAAAGGGAAAAGAGGAGACAGGGGTGTTTCTAGAAGCAGAGGATGTCATAGTGAAAGACACAATCAGAACCAGATTCACTTCCATCTTTATCCATAGTCATAGCCTTTTGCACCTGTTTTGTTTGCTACCAGAAAGGAATAACATCCAGCTGTCAAATTTTCAACTACATCTCCTGTCCACAGGTTTTGATGGTAGGAAGAGAGGATGAGATAGCAGCACTACCTCCTATTATATTTCTTTACTCTTATTATTATTTTCTTACTCTTTGCTGTAGTGAGTATTCTAGGTTTATTTCATAAGGGGAAGGCAGGCTAAGGGGCAGGGGGTACAGTAACCACATCCATTATTGGTGCCTCAACCTAAAAGAACAAACAACATACTTCCAGATTGCAAACAGCTTACATAATGAGTATGCCATTTTATATTGGGAAATTACAGTATTTAAAACTAGTATAAGTTAACTATTAATATTATATCTGAACATTAAGTGATTTTCTTGCCTTCTTGCCAGGCAGGAGCAAGAAATTGGCATTTTCACTTTGTACTTTTAAAACAGGCAAGAACCATGCCGCTCTCTGGAATACGATTTCCCATTATTTCCCTGGAAGTGCTGGCTAGAGCTACTGGCATTTTCTACCCAAAACATTTGGAGGGCTGCACAATTCCCAGTCTCTTTCAGAAGCAGTGGAGATCAGCTGGATGTCAAAGAAAAGGGATCAAGACTTCTAAACTAATTGAATTAACACCTGCAAAAAATGAATTAGGCTGCAGTTGTGGCAATGTCTGTCTTAAGGTGTGTTCTTCCACAAACTAGTTTCAAAGGCGGAACCAACCAATGCTCCCCAATACCTCTATGGACATGGCCACAAAGAAGGGTAAACAAGAACCAGTAATATTATTCTTTTGTTTCTTTCATTGAATAACTCCTCCAATATTTTGGTAAAGACATTTGAAGGAAGACACTGTTTTTTGGACTAGACATGAGTCAAAACGGAACCTGGACTGGCAATCTCTTTTTGTGTAAAATTAAGTGTCTGATCTGAACTAGAGCTGCATTTGGGTAAGAATGGATCCAAGCACCACACAATTTTTTTTGAACAGACCTGCTCAGTCTACATTTTTGAATCATTTGCTTGAACTCATTTTACTTCCGATGGTGGATATTCATTTTGATTGCGGATTCATTTCCAGAGTTGTAATTCTCACTATCAGCAGCCTATTCTCTGCCTCAAATTTAAATTTCCCACTATATTGGCTTTGTCTTCTTGAGGAAATAACTACGATAGAAGGTACGTGACATATTAGGCCCATATACACAGTTGCCTTCTTTATAACACAGACACCCTGCTTAGAGTGAGATGTCCAGTCTAAGTTATTAGTAAAGGTATCTTCATTCAAGTCTGTGAATGAAGTGCAGGATTTATTGCACATGGCCTTGAAGAGTCCAAAGACTCCTTCTTGTTCAGTTTAGATAAGTGGTACTCAAACTGTGGGTCCCCTGGTGTTTTGGCCTATAATTCCCAGAAATCCCAGCCAGTTTACCAGCTGTTAGGATTTCTAGAAGCTGAAGGCCAAAACATCTGGGGACCCACAGGTTGAGAACCACTAGTTTAGATACTCAAAGACAGATGGTGGTCTTTTTGTTTTTTGACGTCACTAATCTAGAATTAGGAAAACATCCTATGCTTACCATAGAGCTTACTCCCACTGACAAACTAAATTACATTGCAAATTTCAGAAGCATTACTTAAAATTATTTCACAGTGAATATTTTTAGCTATTTTTCTTCCTATAAAAGAATATTCAAGTTTAATATTGGCTTGGTACTCAGAACTTTAGTATTGTAAAACACACCTTGGGGATACATCTGCTAGAAATACTGTACATTGGGGAAAAGGGTAATGGAAAGAAGCCAGTATGGCAAGGGATGTCTAAACCTAGTATACATTGTGCCATTTATGTTGCTCTTAGTCATGCTATGAGCTTTCTAATCCCAGTTTCTTAACAATGAATATTTCAAAAGCATCTGAAGGGAACCAAGACAAAAACAACTTAAGTAAGTAAATATGCTACTTGACTTTATCATCAATTTTTTTCTGGCAGCATCATGTCACATGCAGTCCCATAAATACTCTTTCTAGAAAGTCTTAAATGCCACTTTGCTGTGAACTCTGGCATGAAATTAAAAGACAGGAATCTGGTACACCGGAGTTTTAAAAAGAAATGCCTGTGGTGAATCGAGGCACTTCCCAATATGTCCGCTAGCTCTGTCCATTGTGTCTGCTGAAAGAATTTCCTCCAGGTGGCTGGATCTGGATAGAATCAAGGAGAGGCCGCAAAGCTTGTCCAAAGGGCCTAAAGTAGCAATAAAAATTAAAGAAAGGGAAAGAATATGTTTATAGGTTCAAATTTCTCTATAAACTAATAATTTATCAATGAAAATTCAAAAGAAGGCTGCATCTAGTGAAGAATGAAGCACAATTTATTTATTTATTTATTTACTGTATTTATACCCTGCCTTTCTCAACCCTGAAGGGGACTCAAGGCAACTTACATATATAGGCAACGATTTGATACCATGTAGACATGAATACATAGTAAAATAAGCATATACACTAAAACAGCCATTAAAACATATCAAACCTTAAAACACTTATTCAAAACACGTTATCCAAAATTATAACTTATGGCCAGTCCAAAGCATAACTACTAAGGTTACATCCACAAAGACATAGGATGTGCTCATTTGACAGGCACAGTCCTTGCCCCCTTCCACACTGTCATATAATCCGGATTATCAAATCAGATAAATGAGAGGTTGCTTACCTGTAACCGTAGTTTCCCTAGTGATGTGCTGTGAATTCGCACAGAAGTACCATTAGTGCGCATTCACAGCACACTCACGTAGGGAAATCTACATTATCTGCTTTGAACTGGATTATATTAGTATACAGTGCCATATAATCCAGCTCAAAGCAGATTATTTTGATTTTTATATAGCAGTGTAGAAGGGGCCTTTTAAAGCAGGATACATAATGAACTGAGGCAGGACAGTTTCTCAGCCATCTGTAAACAGAGAGTAAAGGAGGCCGACACAAGCATATTTCTTACTCTCACTAAATGGGTATAGAAGTACAGCATTTGATCGCATAATACTCACACTCTCCTTTTGGGGAAGGCAAAAATGGGGTTTTGCCATTCCCCACTTAATAGTCGCACCCTTAATTTACCAAACACACACTGCTGTTTTAAGACTGTGGGGCTTGACTTGGTTCCTAGCCAAAGCATGCCCCACAGCACACCAAAGGAAAGGAGGTTTATCCCCTATAGGGCTTGCAGGTGCCCCTTATTACAAGGAATTTTCTCTATTTGAGGGATGCAAAGTCTTTCTTCTTATACAAACTGAATGAGATACAAAATAGAATCTTTATTTTAGGATATGAGCCCTTCATAAAGATGGAAATGCATGCATCTATGCAATGTATGAATAGGTAGGTTCTTGTGGGTTTTTTCGGGCTATAGAGCCATGTTCTAGAGGCATTTCTCCTGACGTTTCGCCTGCATCTATGGCAAGCATCCTCAGAGGTTGAGAAGGTCTGTTGGAAGTAGGAAAAATGGGCTTATATATCTGTGGAATGAAAAATAAGCCCATTTTTCCTACTTCCAACAGACCTTCTCAACCTCTGAGGATGCTTGCCATAGATGCAGGCGAAACGTCAGGAGAAATGCCTCTAGAACATGGCTCTATAGCCCGAAAAAACCCACAAGAACCTAGTGATTCCAGCCATGAAAGCCTTCGACAATACAATGTATGAATATGCTAATATTACAGAGAAGATTAATTCAACTCCATACTTTTATTTGGTATGTATGTATACTTGTTTATTGTTTTCAAATAGTCAGACCTTCATGTGAAGAATACCAACTGATTTTTTAAAACCTGGTACATTATTTGCCTCAGGCTAATCTGGAAGATGTATCAGCTTTTTAAACGACCCAAATCAGTGTTGTGCATTCAGAATTCCTGAAGATAATGATAACAACAACAACAACAACAACTTTATTTATATTCTGCCTTATCTCCCTGGAGGGACTCAGGGTGGATTCCGAACATAAAAAGGCAAACATTCAATGCCTTAACATAATAACAATACACCCATAATAACTTGACAACCCAGCAAATTAAGAAGAGCCAAAGCTGATAAACTTGACATGCATAATATCAGTGTACTCATCCATGATGTTTCCTGAGCATATAAATATGAGATTCTACTCACGTTGCAAGGACTTCAGATGGAAGGTCAGTGATGTGGGAAGGAATCTTTCTTCCTGTTAAGAATTGTGCCACTTCGTTGCTGAATGTATTGCAGTTATGGTCAAAGAGATTATAAGACTCTCCACTGTAGTCCAAAAGAAGTTCAAAGAGAAAAAAATGTATGAAAAAATGAATTAGCAAACAAACAGAGACAAACCACATGCAAGGAAAAAAAAGATTTAAAAAAGCAACTGCTTTTCATTGTGGTGGATTTCAGAACAAATTACGCATATTATTAAACTTTATTTATACCTCGCCACCATCTCCCCTCAGGGACTTGGTGCGGCTAACATGAGGCCAAGCCCGTGTGTGTGTGTGTGTGCACCCTTAAACATCTTCCTCCCCTTCATTTCATTTTTATTGCTGCTTAGGCCTTTTGGACAAGTTTTGGGGCCTCAAGTCAATCCAGAATAGATTCAGCCACCTGGAAGATATTCTTTCAGCAGACACAATGGACAGAAATATACATACATACATGCATGCATGCATGCATGCATGCATACATATAAAAAAGTAAAGGTTGTCCCCTGACATTAAGTCTAGTCATGTCTGACTCTGGGGTGTTGTGCTCATCTCCATTTCTAAGTCGAAGAGCTGGCGTTGTCCATAGACACCTCCAAGGTCATGTGGCCGGCATGACTGCATGGAGCGCCGTTACCTTCCTGCCAGAGCGGTACCTATTGATCTACTCACATTTGCATGTTTTTGAACTGCCAGGTTGGCAGAAGCTAGGGCTGACAGCAGAAGCTCACACCGCTCCCTGGAATCAAACCTGTGACCTTTTGGTCAACAAACTCAGCAGCTCAGCGCTTTAACCCACTGCGCCACCAGGGGCTCTTTACACATACATATACATATATGATAATTTACACTGTAGCATTTGACTGTTCAAATGTTCACTCAGATACATGAGGCGTGCAAGGGCACAGCAGGTTCAGGTTTGCTTGTTAAAAGACCTGGAAGGCCTCTGCTTTTGCACTAGTGTGCTGTCATTAAGCAATTAATGGTATGAGTACCCACTAAGCAAGTTTAGATTCATTGTTACTCTTTTATGGCTGTATAAGAAGAATATGGGTTACATTTATCATCTTAATGGACTGAAACTTCACAGAGTTCAACGAAAATTCAGTCCATACTTCCTATTAGGCAATCTTTAGCTTATATCTGAAATGAAATGTTCTATGACTTCACAACATTTGAGATAAAGAAAAGTAAGAGATACAGTTCACCTACATAAGAAACCTATGTATACTGTCTCAATCTTTCTAATAGAAGATGATGAAATAAGACTTATGGAAAATGACTCCATGGTAAATCCTGCAGTGAAATCTCTATAACTCCAGGTAAACTAAATCGTTTCTTTCATTTTAAAAGGAGCATGATCGTGGGATCTGTACCAAGTAGCTTCAACAGAATATTTCACAGAATATTAGAATACAAACAAAGCAGCATTCTCACCGGAATATAGATTCCCCCAATGAGGACAGGTATTCCAGGAAAAGGTCTTCCGAAACTTCGGTGCACCCCAAGTCTACAATGGTGTCCGGAGGTCCAAGCAGCGTCCCACCCTGTAAAATGTATATTCATAAGACACCAAGAGCAGTAGTTTCTCATTCTTGTACAAGGAATACATCATGGTGAAAGATTTATCATCCCCCTCCTACAACTTGTGCATAGTTTATAGTAGAGGTTCTCTCAGCAGTGGAGCTCTTTTTGAAGCGTAAGTTTCTTGTGGAGCCCCAAGTAATGTTTATATATTATAATATATATTATATATAATGAATATATATCAGGCTTGGGCAAACTTTCTGACCAACATAAGCTTAGTGTTTTGGTGGAAGACCCCAGGGGCCATCTAGTCCAACTCCCTTCTGCCATGCAGGAAACAATCAAAGCACCTCTAACAGATGGCCACCCAGACATCATAATAATAATAATAATAATAATAATAATAATAATAATAATAATCACCTCTGAGGATGCTTGCCATAGATGCAGGCGAAACGTCAGGAGAAATGCCTCTAGAACATGGCCATATAGCCCGAAAAAACCCACAAGAACTGAATAATAATAATAATAATAATAATAATAATAGTAATAATAGCAGAAACCCGAGGGACCATTCAGTTCAACTCCCTTCTGCCATGCAGGAAACAATCAAAGCACCTCCAAGAGATGGCCACCCAGACCTAATAATAATAATAATAATAATAATAATAATAATAGCAGAAACCCGAGGGACCATTCAGTTCAACTCCCTTCTGCCATGCAGGAAAAACACAATCACAGCACCCCCTGAGAGGTGGGAGAGAAATAGGGTATTGGAGGCATGGAAGGCAAGAGGAAAAGGATCTGGGTGCTGAGGAAGGTGAGGAAAAATAGTCTTTGGGAGCAAAGGAGGTGGGGGAACAGGCTTTTGGGGGTGAGGGAGGCAAGGAAAAAGGGCTTTTGGTGGCAAGGGTTGTGGGAAGAGCAGGAAAGAGAGTGAAAGCTTGGAGGGGAAGGGGGAGGGAGGAGGAGGAAAGCACAGAGCCCCAAAGTATGCTTTGCAGAGCCCGAAAAGCACTGCAGAGCACACTTTGAGAAACACTGATTTGTAGTAACCAAATCCTGGAAGGTGCCTGAAACATTGCAGTCTGGGGGTGGGGAAGAGAAGGAAAGAGGAAAGCCTAGAACAGTGGTTCTCAACCTGTGGATCCCCCAGTGTTTTGGCTCACAACTCTCAGAAATCCCAGCCAGTTTACCAGATGTTAGGATTTCTGGGAGTTGAAGGCCAAAACATTGGGGGACCCACAGGTTGAGAACAACCAGCCTAGATTTTAGCTTAAAGAGGAGCAAAATATTTGGCCAGCTAGGATAAGCAATTTAAAACCTCAAAATTTAATGTATTATACAAAGAAAGCTATAGCTGCAGAATGATGATACATAGGAATGCAAAGGAAGCATAAAAGGTAAAGGTTTCCCCTTGACATTAAGTCTAGTTGTGGCCGACTCTGGGAGGCGATGCTCATCTCCATTTCTAAGCTGAAGAGCTGGCGTTGTCCGTAGATGCCTCCAAGGTCATGTGGCCAGCATGACTGCATTGAGTGCCATTACCTTCCTGCCAAGCTGGTACCTATTGATCTACTCACATTTCATGTTTTTGAACTGCTAGGTTGGCAGAAGCTGGGGCTAACAGCAGGAGCTCATCCTGTTCCCTGGATCTGAACCTCTGACCTTCTGGTCAGCAAGTTCAGCAGCTCAGCAATTTAACACGCTGTGCCACTGGGGTGCCCTGCATACAGAAAGCTTTACTTTGGTTCTCAGAGTTTTGGATCATGAAGTAGTTAATGTTCACTATCTAGAATTTTATACTTTTTCTATATAGGGGACAAAATGGAAATCTATGAGGAAAATAATGATACAGAGGAAGGAATAGAAAATATATTCTGAGATTGCTGTACTTACAGGAAGACAGCTGGAGATCCCACCACTACCATAGAAGAACTCATCCCTGTGGACAACTATGGAGGTGTGCCTAAGAGGAGTGGGGGAGAAGACCAGAAATAAACAAGAAACAAGTTACAACTGGGACTAGACAGATCATGGGCAATAAATAAATAAATAAAATAAAACTCCTAACTCTAAGATTCTATGATTTTACCATTCTACAAAGCCTTTAGTCCGACATATTATTAAATAACTAGATTTTTTAAAAGATTATTGGCTTCATCTAATTTTAGCCAGTATTTTCTGTTCTATGTACTAATAAATGCAAGTAAGGAGCAAAATGTTGCAGCGTAGAACGTTTCTGTTCAGGGTTCCAGTCCATTCCATTTTTCTGCCCTGGGTTCCTCCCACCCCCATTCCCTCCGCCAACAATCGTTGGTTTTTCATAATCTCTCAGGCATGCTCTTAATCACTAGGCATGCTCTTAATCTTAATCATTTTGTGTCTTCTGCCCTCCATTTCTGGCTTCAGATTGTTATGTGCATTCACAAACATGCACAGAATGGTGCTCACTGCTAGCTACATTAAAATAATGGGATTCTCCTATTCGTTTCTATAGAAAATTCTCACTCTGTCTTTAGGGATATTTTTTAAAAATTCTATTAAAAACCCAGAAAGAAACAATATGAAAAATGAGATGGATCATCTTTTCCATGTTCTCCTTTCCTATTCACTCCTATCTATTATTTTCCCCACTCAGTTATCAGTTTGCCTCTTCTAAGATGGTTCCTGCCCCATGCAATTTTATTTTTAAATTGAACAATTAAAATGCAGCTTAATTAGTAAGTACATCACTTTCAAAGCCAAAAGCCTGTTCCATTACCAAGCAAATAATTAAAAAAACCAAAAGCCTATTAAGCAATTAAATGCTACCACCCTACACCTATCTAATGAATAAGGCATCCTAAGTTAGTTCACTTACTATTTTAGGGTGAGGGTCCTACTGTAAAAAACAAATAAAGTTTCCTTGCATATATCGAATGCTAGAACAATGAAGTGCTACAGTCATTAACCGCCAAAACCCAGGCATTATATTCAAAAGAATAGGCCAAGTGTCTCATTATAGTAACTTCCACAAAATATGTTTTGTGTAGAAGGTGACTATGAACATGTTTGACAGTATTGAAACACCAAATAATTTGAAATCTGGTGACTCACCAGATGCCATCCAGCTGTTTACCTATATAAAGAAAGAAGAAAAATTATCATCAGCTGTACATAGAGAAGCTAGCTAGTTCCCACAGCCTTCTCAGTTTCATACAGTGTTATAGCGTTGCTTTCCTAACCAGTAAAAAAGACAATATAATCTCTTCCAATATGAAATGTTAGAGTTGGCATCTGACTTAACAGGGAACAATTCATACCCAGAATTTGGAGATTTGTCTTAACTGCTACTGAACTGTGTCAGGTTTCCTAGAGGCAACATGTATCAACATGCAATCTCTATCGGTGTGTGTGACCGTAGAAATATAGATCAAGTTATGTGCTGAGTTATTTCCAAACACACTTTTATTAACCTTATACGTATTCTAACATTATAGACACTCTTATTAACCTTATACGTATGCTAACCTTATAGACACTTACTAGCTTGTGAACAACTTGGAGTAGATGATCAAGCAGAGCAACATTTTGTAATCTCATGAGAGAGTCATTCTTCCTACTCCACCTTTCAAAATGGCAGCAACTATTGAAGTTACAAGCTGGTAATTTTTTTGTGAGTTTATATGTAAAGCTATACTATGATGATTCATGGTAAAGTGTTATCTGCAAGGCCAGATCACAGGATCTTAGTCAGAAAAATTACTTATTTGTTTTTGACTAACCATATCTTTCTAATAAATGGTGACACATTGGATGGGGTTAGGCTTGACAAAGAGAATAAAAGTGATTTTTTAAAATGCTAATATAAGAGAATTGCTAAGAACACTTCTCCTGCCCAGTTCCCAACATGTGTTCAGGCTTCATTTCTGTACCTGTGAGTTTGGTAGTAGGTTCCACCAAAAACAATTGGTTTACTCTTACACATAGGAGCAAGGTGTAAAGATTCTTTAACTAATTTAAAAGGAAAACATTCACTGTCATTCACTCATATTATAAAATAGCAGCAAATATTCTATCTGAAGAAGAATAATCATATCTTGCCTTTAGGGAAAATACTGGGAAGAGTTATTTAGAGAGATGTATAGTCAGGTAAAGGAAACGGGTGTATTTCTTCAAGCTGTTTGGGGGTCCTGAAAAATAGTTTTAGAGGAAAAAGGAACTTTTGAATTCATTACACACACTTCTTTGTTGGGAAACTAAAAAAAACCCCAATAAGGATAAAGTTGCATAAGTATGCAATACTAGGCTTAGGTTTTCTTAGAACAGAGTTCAGTGTGGGCGGTACTAAATGAGTTGCTTGTTGTGGGACACTTCTTGGTCATGGTGACAGTGCAAACTCAGCATTGTAGACACAGAACCAGGAAGAAAGCAGAAACAGAGCAATGGTTTTCATGGGAAAATGTAATGATCATTATTAACATTTCATCTTTACATTGAAAACAAGATCAAAGCTAAACAAACCAGAAACTCCTTATATAAGGCCAAGGCACAGTATGATTTAACATATGCAACAACATCAATGTTGACATTTAACTTTAATCAGTGTATTAATTCGTGTAATCAGCAAAGTATTCCTATTTAGGGTTAGTGACAAGAGTTCTACAAACCTGCCATTTTCCGTCAACCAGGGCCGTGTGTGCTTTTTTTCATCCTGATTTTTTAAAACCTCTTTTAAAGGCAATGAGATCCAAGTAAGAAGGTCACCTTGGAGTTAGGCAATTAGATTCAGCACTGCTCCAAGCATGTCCCATTGTTTATGCAGATGTGGACCCTTGTGCAGGGGCAAATAGAACAACAGGGACTTGAAGGCAAATCTAATGAGCAACTCACCACTGGCAGAATGAGATCCTTACCATAGGCTGCCATTTGTAAAGAGTTAAGACTGCTTTATAGTCATGTAATTCCGAAAGAAACCACTTTAAGGTTTCAGTTGTGATTTGGACCGTGCTCCTAAAAAAACCCCAGTTAAATCAAAGGAACTTCCTTCCAAGTGAAAATACATAGCAAGGTACTGTCAAAAACACATTTTAAACTTTTTTTATTTGCAAAGTGCCTTTATCTCGGCAATGTCTTTAATTAACCCAGAGAACTCTCTTGCCTCTCTAACACTATGTATTTTCTTTTTAAAAACATCATTCAAACTTTTACTATTTTAATTGTTTTACAAATGAACTGCACTTTTGACTAGCAGTGGAATTGGTTTTGTCTGTATGTCTCAGATACATAAATAGAAGAAAGGGCTTCAACTGCTTTAATGTCATAGCAAGTAGATCAATGCCTTTCTTGCTGCCATTATATTTACACTAACTATTCCTTTAAAAACTTATGATCAGCATTTATAATACAATTATCCTACTTTTGCATACCATATCACTTTATACAGCTCTGTGTGTGTGCACACCTTCAAGTCACCTGCTGACTTATATGACCCTATGAACTTTAGAGAGTGTTTTTAAGCAAGGAACACAGAGAGATGTTTCTGCCAGTTCCTTCTTCTGAAATACTGGCTGAGCATCCCTTATTCAGAATTACAAAATGCTCCAAAATTGTTTGCATAGGTTTCCGAGACCAGTGACACCTTTGTTTTCTGATGGTTCAAGATACATCAACCTTGTTTTATGCACAAACTCATTGCTGATATTGTATAAAATTACCTTCTAGCTATGCACATAAGGTGTAGGTAAAGGTTTCCCCCTGACATGAAGTCCAGTCATATCTGACTCTGGGGTGTGGTGCTCATCTCCATTTCTAAGCCGCAGAGCTAGTGTTGTCCGTATACACCTCCAAGGTCATGTGGCCGGCATGACTGCATGGAGCACCATTACCTTCCCACTGGAGCAGTACCTATTGATCTATTCACATTTGCATGTTGTCGAACTGCTAGGTTGGCAGAAGCTGGGGCTAACAGCAGGAGGTCACCCTGTTCCCTGGATTTGAACTGGCCGGTCAGCAAGTTCAGCAGCTCAGTGGTTTAACCCACTGAGCCACCTGGGGCTCCTACATAAGGTGTATATGAAACCTAAACTAATTTTGTATTTAGACTTGGGCCCCAACTCCAAGATAATCTCACTATGTACGTATACGTAAATACAGGTATTCCAAAATCCAGGATAACAAACACTTCTAGTCCCAAACATTCTTGATTGGGAATACTCAACCAGATAGCCTTTAGAACCTCTCATTCAAGAACTAACCAGGGCTGACCCTGGTTAGCTTCAAAGATCAGGTGGGATCTGGTGCCTTGTATGCCTTGCTTAAATAAGACGTAGTCTCAAAGGTCCCCCAACACTTATTCTTTGCCATGCAGGAGTGGGGCTATCTCTTATAAAACTGCTACCTGATAGGGGTTTTATTGGTTTTAGAGTGTTTATATAAGATAAGTTTAAGCACACCTCCTAACATTCTCTGTCTGGAAGAGAGTCACCTTGTCAATGGGTTTGAGAAAATTATACTTAAAGCCAATGCCTGCTATGGGCGCCACACCCACAACCAACCTTTCTAACCTAACTTGGAGTGAGAGTCATGGCCTAGTTTCTATCCTATATAGCAGTGGTTCCCAACCTTTTTTTGACCAGGGTCCAGTCTTCAACATTAGTACCAAAAGGGTTACGAATCAGTTTTTGGTCAACTTTAGATCCTATTTAGTTATTTGGGGTGCTGATTCAGAAAATTGCAATGGATAGACCACATCAACTCTAGTTTCTCATAGAAACATATTCCATCCAGTAGTCACCATCTGCTTGCCCACAGAAAACCATATTTAATAAGCTTCAGCACTATAAGAGTTTCATGAGATCAGTCGCTCTCGTTGCAATGGTGTAGTAACGGTGAGGTCGGGGACCATATTTTAGTTCTTGCGACCCATTGGTGGTCCATGGACCACAGGTTGGGAACTACTGCTATATAGTTTTGTTCTAGTTGTTTCAGACTACCTGTCTGAATGTATCTCCTGCCATGAACCATCACGAAGTTTAAGATCTCCAGGAGAGGCCCTGCTCTCGATCCCACCACTGTCGCAAGGCTGTAGACCAGGCATGGGCAAACTTGGACCTGCCAGGTGTTTTGGACTCCAACTCCCACCATTCCTAACAGCCTCAGGCCCCTTCCTTTTCCCCCTCAGCCGCTTAAGCGGCTGAGGGGGAAAAGGAAGGGGCCTGAGGCTGTTAGGAATGGTGGGAGTTGGAGTCCAAAACATCTGGAGGGCATAGGCAAACCTTGGCCCTCCAGGTGTTTTGGACTCCAACTCCCACAATTCCTAACAGCCTTAAGAGGCTGAGGGGAAAAAGAAAAAGGCCTGAGGCTGTTAGGAATGGTGGGAGTTGAAATCCAAAACACTTTTAGGGCCCAAGTTCGCCCATGCCTGATCTACATTGTAGACTTAACGCAGTTTGACACCGCTTTAACCGCCATGGCTCAATGCTATGGAAATCTGGGACCTGCAGTTTGGTGAGGCACAGCACTCTTGGACAGACCTTGTAGAACTACAGTTCCCATAAGCAGTCAGCCATGGCAGTTAAAGTGGTGTCAAACTGCGTTAATTCCACAGTGTAGATACTATGAATATTTCACCCTCAGATGGCATTTCTTCCTCCTCTTGCCGTTCCCCCACCCCATCCGTTTTTCGGTGCATCTTACCGAGCATGATGGGGCTGAGGCGCCGAGCCATGCCCTTGGACAGATCGTAAACGTAGAGCTTCACCGGGTGCAGCATCGGAGGCGAGTCCATGGCATTGGCGGAAAGGGGCGCCGCCGACAGAAAGGCCCTGAGAGCCAAGCAGCGGGCGGTTGGGAAGGAGAGCTACGGAAGCCCAATTGGGCCCCAAAAGCTCCTGGCGGCGGCTCGGACGGTGCCCACCAACTGACAGGAGGGGACGAGAAAAAGGAGGGGGAGGAGGGCAGCGCAGAAAAAGGGAGCGCGCCTTTCACGCATGCGCCGCCCCCACACGAAGAACCCGCCTGCCTGTCACGGCGCCCTCTGTGAGGGAACCGAGCGAAGGAGCCGGGAGGCGGGGCCAGGACGGGTTTCCCTCCGGGCTATTGGTTAGAACGTCAGGGTTTCCCTCTCTGCTATTGGTCAGAACCTGAGGAGTAGGTGGAGCTTACAGCCTTTCACGAGATGTAACTGGGTAGAGAGTTGCTGGTGGGCGGGGTTACATTCCGGGGGCGGGGAGACGTGACTTGCATAAACAAAAAAAGGCCTCCGCGTGAAGGTGAGCAACAATTCCATAGGAAACTGTTAATAAGGGCCTTCCTCACCAAGGGATCATAGAGGTATAACGGTGTTTTGATTGCTATGGCAACCTCGTAGGGCTTTGGAGTTGAACGTTCCAGTGCCTTACTGAACTACAACACCCAGAATTCAATGGGGTTCATTCATGGCAGTTGAAGTGGAACTATAGTGTTCTCCAGATGGTTTTAAATGATGGGTTTTAAACTATAGACCGATTGTTTCCATATGTATTGGTTTTCTAGAGGCTGGATGGCCATCTGTCAAGGGGTGATTTGAATGCAATATTCCTGCATTTTGGCAGGGGTTTGGACTGGATGGCCCATGAGGTCTCTTCCAACTCTTTGATTCTATGATTCTATGTGGTTTTAAACTGATTTTATAAAATCTCCGAAGCTCTAGGTGCTCTTACTGCCTATTACAGGGAAAACCAACTGATCCCTAACCCATCTAAAACACAGACATGTGCTTTTCACCTTAAGAACAGACAAGCATCCCGAGCTCTGAGGATCACCTGGGAAGGAATCCCACTGGTGCATTGCAGCGTACCCAAATACCTGGGAGTCACTCTGGACCTTCTCTGACCTACAAGAAGCACTGCCTGAACATCAAACAAAAAGTGGGTGCTAGAAACAATATCATACGAAAGCTGACTGGCACAACCTGGGGATCACAACCAGATACAGTGAAGACATCTGCCCTTGCGCTATGCTACTCTGCTGCTGTGTATGCATGCCCAGTGTGGAACACATCTCACCACACTAAAACAGTGGATGTGGCTCTTAATGAGACATGCCGCATTATCACGGGGTGTCTGTGCCCTACACCACTGGAGAAATTACACTGCTTAGCCGGTATTGCACCACCTGACATCCGCCGGGAAGTGGCAGCCAATAGTGAAAGGACCAAGGCAGAGACATCTCCAGCTCATCCCTTGTTTGGGTATCAGCCAGCACGTCAACGACTTAAATCTAGAAATAGTTTTCTAAGATCTACAGAGACACTCGCTGGAACACCTCAGCAAGCGAGAGTCCAAAAGTGGCAGGCTCAAACCCAGAACCTCAACCAATGGCTGATACCAAATGAGAGACTCCCCCCTGGGCACACAGAAGGACTGGGCGACTTGGAAGGCGCTGAACAGACTGCGCTCTGGCACCACGAGATGCAGAGCCAACCTTCAGAAATGGGGCTACAAAGTGGAATCCTCGACATGCGAGTGTGGAGAGGAGCAATCCACTGACCACCTGCTGCAATGCAACCTGAGCCCTGCCACATGCACAATGGAGGACCTTCTTGCAGCAACACCAGAAGCACTCCAAGTGGTCAGATACTGATCAAAGGACATTTTATCAACTACCAAACACACAAATTCTGTATTTTGTCTGTTTGTTTGCTTTGTTCTGTTAGAAATGTAATATAATTTGACTGGTCATCCTGACACGACAAATAAATCTCCATGACTGCATGGAGTACCGTTACCTTCCCGCCGGAGCAGTATCTATTGATCTACTCACATTTGCATGTTTTCAAACTGCTAGGTTGGCAGAAGCTAGGGCTGACAGCAGAAGCTCACGTCGCTCCCCGGAATTGAACCTGCAACCTTTCGGTCAACAAGCTCAGCAGCTCAGCACTTTAACCCACTGAGCCACTGCTTGTCTATATATATAAAAAGCTCCTTTGTGGGATTAACTTAACTCAAAAACTACTGGACAAATTGCCACCAAATTTGGCCACAAGACACCTACTAACCCAAGGAGTGATCATCACGCATTTTTTTTTAATTTTGTCATTTGGGAATTGTAGTTGCTGGGATTTATAGTTAACCTACAATCAAAGAGCATTCTGAACTTCACCAATGATGGAATTGAACCAAACGTGGCACACAGCACTCCCATGGCCAACAGAAAACATTAGAAAGGGTTGGTGGCATTGACCTTGAATTTGGGAGTTGTAGTTCACCTACATCCAGAGAGCACTGTGGACTCTGATGGATCTGGATCAAACTTTGCATGAATATTCCATATGCCCAAATATGAACACTGGTGGAGTTTGGGGGAAATAGACCTTGACCATTGGGAGTTGTAGTTACTGGGATTTATAGTTCACTTACAATCAAAGAGGATTCTGAACCTCATCAGGGATAGAATTGGGTCAAACTTTCTGCACAGAACCCCCATGACCAACATAAAATACTGTCTATCCTGGTGGTCTTTGGCAACCCTTTTGACACCCCATCACAATCCCCCCCCCCAGGGTCCTGACCCCCATATTGAGAAATGCCTGAAGGCCATCCAGTCCATCTCCCTTCACCAGGGCCAGAAAACATCATTAAAGCCCTCCTGACACAGAGCCATCCAGCCATATATATAGATAGATATGAGTCACACACAGAGAGATATAGTATTATAGATTTGAAAGGGACCCCTAAAAAAGGACAATTCTATGTTGCAAGTTCCAGGGTAGGCAACCCAGACAAGATCCACATCAATACTGACAAAGAAACAGCAAGAAATACTGTTTACCCACAAGCATGAAGCAATTACATATATTAGAAACCAACACTTTCTCATTACTTTATTTTCCAGATCACCAGACTGGGCCACAGGAATGTGTGGTAGGGCACAGCTAGTATAATAATAATGATGATGAAGATGACAATGTAGTGTGAAAGGACCATAGGAGGTCGTTGTTTTAGGCCAATTTTCCACACCTGAGATGGAAGTAAAAGCTGCCAAAGAAATAATAGAGAGCAACAGATAAGGAGCTCTTACTCCCTTTCCCCCCTAAGCAATGGTTCTCAACCTGGGGTCCCCAGATGTTTTTGGCCTACAACTCCCAGAAATCCCAGCCAGTTTACCAGCTGTTAGGATTTCTTGGAACTGAAGGCTAAAAACATCTGGGGACCTCAGGTTGAGAACCACTGCAAGGGTTCATTTCGACAGCACTTCACTTGCTATGGTTCAATGCCATGGAATGCTGGGAGTTGTAGTTTGGTGAGGCCCCAGCACTTTTTGGGCAGAGAGGGCTAAAGACCTTAAAAAACTACAACTCCCATGATTCCAAAGCATGGACCCACGGCAGGTAAACTGGTGTCAAATTTGCATCATTCTGCTGCGTCAGTCCACCTTTATTACACTCCTTGTGTTGTGGACTACGGATCCCAGAAGCCTCAGCTACCGTGGCGAATTATTAGGAATTCTGGGAGTTGAAGTCCAAAATACATGGAAGAGTCCGGAATGGGTCTGAGGCTGATCCAGTGCGCCCTAAGCTTGCCTCCCGCCCTGATTGGACCACTGTGCCTTGAGGGGCGAGGCCTCGACGTGATTGACAACCAATCCCGTGAGTTCCGGTATTGGAACACGAGGGGGCGGGAAAAGGGGTTGCCTAGTTTCGGCGGGAGACTGGCAGGTAACGGTGGTTTCCTCGCGTGTGTACCTTTCCAAGGTAGATGTTGGGCGGCGGCGGTGGTTTGAGGAAATGGGGGCGCTTCAAAGTGGGCCTAGGAATGGCTAAATCAGGCCTGGGCAAACTTGGGCCCCTCCAGGTGTTTTGGACTCCAACTCCCACCCTTCCTAACAGCCTCAGGCCCTTTCCTTTTCCCCCTCAGCCGCTTAAGCGGGGAAAAGGAAGGGGCCTGAGGCTGTTAGGAAGGGTGGGAGTTGGAGTCCAAAACACCTGGAGGGGCCCAAGTTTGCCCAGGTCTGGGCTAAATACTACTATTATTACTCTTGCTTATCACTATTTTTGTTGAGGTGTTGGATTGCTGGTTGCCATTCTTTTAACGAAATCATCTAGTTGCTCTCCTCTTAAGAGTACAGTTATTTTATCCATTATTATCATCAATAATATATTTTTCCAATTCTTCTATATCTGTGGTTTCCCAGTGTCTGGGATTCACTATTCGTGCTGCCACTGCCATGTAGAATAGGATTTTTCTGTATTTCTTTTGTAATTCTTCATCTGGTATGTTCAAAAGGGCTGGCTTTAGCACAGCAGGTTAATCAGCAGCAGCAGTAAATCTTGCCAACCAAAGGACTGACAGTTCGAACCCGAGTCAGGGTGAGCTCCTGACCTTCAGCCCAGCTCCCCCTGCTCACCTAGTGGATCAAAAACAGCAATGTGAGTAGATGAATAGGAACCACATTATGCGGGGAGGTATTTTAGGCATGGCATTTCAGAGGAAAGTTAAGCTCTTTGGCAAGGAAATGGAGCATCAGCACTCCCCTGTGGTCAATACTGAGCACAGCCTCCAAAGATGCCAAATGATGAGAAAAAGCCTGAAATATATAGTTCTATCTGTTGTCTGTTTCGTTATTGTATAATTATCATTGAATGTTTGCCGTTTATGTGTTCTGTGATCCGCCTTGAATCCCCTTTGGGGTGGGAAGTGTGGAATATAAGTATTGTAAATAAATAAATAAAAGGTACATTTGTGGCATCATTGCGAAATTCGTGTTTAGGAACTTTTCAAGATATAGGTGAATCTGCTTCAAGTGGCTGCATGTTTGTTTGTTTTTTTGCATGTCCACCACATATGGTAAAATGTCCCTTTTTCATTTCCAGCATCTATCGGTACAATTATACATCTTCACTAATTTTTCTGAAGAGAGATACAATTGCAGGTGCATTTTGTAGACATTTTCTTTGAGGTTTTGACACGTTGTGTACGTCATTCCTCTCTGAAATGTCTTTTCCCATTGGGCCATTTTTATCTCATTAAGCTATGGTGGCACAGTGGGTTAAACCCTTGTGCTGGCTGAACTGCTGACTTGAAGGTCGGGCGGTTCGAATCCGCGAACCTGTCAACCCCAGCTGTCAACCCCAGCTTCCCATGCGGGGACATGAGAGAAGTCTCCCATAGGATAGTAACACATCCGGGGGTCTCCTGGGCAACGTCTTTGTAGACAGCCGATTCTCTCATATCAGAAGCAACTTGCAGTATGTTCTCAAGTCACTTCTGACACAATAAAAAAAATCTCATCATTGAATATTTTACTGCCAGGTCAGTAAATTTTTATTTGTGTGTAAGTCCTTTTGGTTCCTGGAACATAGCCACATCAAACCATGTTTCTGCAGTCTGAAAGCTTATATTTTTTAGTTCTTCGAATTTCTCATGCAGTTGTCTATATAGGAGCCAATTGCATTTAAGGCCCATTTGGTGCAATTCTTCAAGAGTCTACATCTGTCTGAGTCAACTCCCTATATGGTTAGCCATTTCCCCTGTAGAATATTCTCTTTTTGTAATATGCCTCATGAGGAGATATCCACCCCTGGTTGGTGACTTCGTATAGATTCTTTTTTTGTATCTATTCCTAGTACTTAAAATTGGCCTCCATATATAATGATCATTGAATATTCCTGTTGGCTTTTCCTTTTGTATATCCAGATATGCATTCCGTCCAAATTGGAGATTTATTCCTTCTAAATCTAATAACATGTTGTCTTCCATGATCACCCATTCTTTGAGCCAGTCCAAATAGCATGTGTGAAAGGAGTTTTAGATTTGGGAGGAATAATCCGCCTCTTGTTTTATCATTAAGTATCTTCATTCTTATCCATGATTTTTTCCCTGCCCATATAAATTTTGAAATAACGTTTTGTCAAACTGTGAAAATCTTTTTATTGTTGATTATTGGTATGTTTTGAAACAGAACTAACATTTTTGGCAGTGTCGATATCTTGATGATATCCTCTCTAATATGGAGAGCCCTCGTTGATTCCATTCCTCTAGTTCATTTTTTATCTCTCTCCACACCCTTTCGTAGTTATTTTTGAATAGCTCTGGGTTCTTCTTTGTAATATCTATTCTTAGGTATTTGACTTTCTGGACAATATTATATTCTGTATTTTCCGTTAGTTATTGTTTTTCTGATTCTGTTGGTTTTTTGTTTGTTTGTAAAAATGGACTTTTCTCGTTGTTTATCTTTAATCCAGCTAATTCCAAGATTTAATTTAATTTAATAATGTCAAGATTTTATTTAATTCTTTCATCGAGTCAGTGGGATTTTCTAAGGTCAAATTCTTTATTATTCATTTGAAATGTTACACCCTCATCCACTCTTTCTTTAAAACCTTTTGTTTCAACAATTTGGTTTTAACCTGCCAGCAGAAGGGCAACATTCTGGTCCCTTGAGAAATTGTTTGCAGAGAAGCTCTTTGATATAAAAAGATTTAAATGAACTTTGGTATTTCCCTGGACTAGGCCCACATGTGTGTTAATGTATGTGTTGCATTCCACATGGCTTTGGATACCTTACCGGAAAATCAGTACTGTATTTAACTCTATGTATATAAAATACTATGTATGTTTGTTGGTTGATTAGTTGCTTTGTACCACAAAGGCTTCTTCATGGCTTGATGGATCTGGACCAGACTGGGCATGCATGCCCTTCATTCTCCAACTGAAAAGAATGGAGGGCTTTGAACTAAGACACAGTCCTTTTGGGCCCAGAGAGGAGGGAAATAAAAGCAACAAAGTAGATTGACCTGTGGCTAGGTGAATTGAAAGAAAGAAAGAAAGAAAGAAAGGAGGGAGGCAGGGAATAAAGAAAAAGGAGGGAAGAGAAAGGAAAGAAAAAAGAAGAGGGGGAAGATGTCTGAGGTAAATGGAGGAAGGAAAGAAAGCACCATAAAGAAAATGGATACCTGGGTAATGCCGGGTGTATATACTGTAAAATCCATTAAAAATGTACAAATGGGAATAGCTAAGTCCCCTTACAAGTCTTGAAGAAGTGATCACCACTGCTATTGGCCACGGTAGTCCACGCTCTGGTTACATCCCGTATAGACTACTGCAACGCTCTCTACGTGGGGTTGCCTATGAAGACTGCTCGGAAGCTACAAATGGTCCAACGATCGGCAGCCAGGTTGTTAACAGGAGCGGCACTCAGGGAGCACACCACTCCTCTGTTGCGCCAGCTCCACTGGCTGCCAATTTGCTACCGGGCACAATTCAAAGTGCTGGCTTTAGCCTTTAAAGCCCTAAACGGTTCTGGCCCGACCTATCTGTCCGAACGCATCACCCCTATGAACCAGTTAGGACATTAAGATCGTCCGGGGAGGCCCTGCTCTCGATCCCGCCAGCCTCACAAGCATGGCTGGTGGGGACGAGAGACAGGGCCTTCTCAGTGGTGGCCCCTCGGCTGTGGAACGCCCTTCCCACAGACATTAGATCGGCCCCCTCCCTGCTGGCGTTCAGGAGAAGAGTAAAGACCTGGCTCTTTGAACAGGCGTTTAATTAAGCAGTGCAATTAATTGATTGATCTTGGAACTTGGAATAATGGACGAGGAGATCGGATTATGACTTTACTGATGAGACGTGATGGATTAGTTATATAGATGTATAGATGTTATATTGATGTACTGTTGTATTGCTAGATCGATGTAGTTGCTTTAGTACTGTTTTAAATGCTAATGTGTGCACTTTGTATATTGTCCTGGCTGTAAACCGCACTGAGTCGCCTACGGGCTGAGAGAGTGTGATATACAAGTAAAGTAAATAAATAAATAAATAAATAATATTGTGATAGTGATGTGCCCTCAAGTTGTTTCTGACTTCATTCATATGACCAGTGAGCCTGATGTTTCATATGAATGCAAAAATAAATCCATAAGGCTTCATTTACACAATTTGGAGACCATCTGTTATGAATATGTATTTTTATGCTAAGCATTGTTTCTTCACATTTAGTGCATTCCAGTTATGTCGGTATATAAAGGGTAGCAGTACAATCAGCCCTCCATATTTTTGAAGTTAGGGTCATGGGACTGCCGAGAAAGTGGAAAAAACATAAATGGCCTCTATTTTTAATCGGAGAGAACACCTCTCTAGAAATCTTGTGGTCCTCCAATGTGACTCTAGGGTCAATGTCCTCTTGTCATCCAAGAGGACCAATACATTTCTAGAGAGAATATCTCTCAAGATTTTTTAATGTTATTCTGTGGTCAGGTTCCACATTTTTCACAGTTTATATTCTCATAATTATAATTTGAAGGAATGTCTGGAATCTCTTGTTATTCACATTTTACTTATTAGAATACTTACTGTACTTGCTCCATTTATTCTCCTTAGCAAGGCTTGAGAGTCATGTCAAACTGGGTATCATATTACAAAAATGAAGACGAGGAGGAAGGGGAGGAACAAGATGAAGAAGTTGAAACAATTGGTAAGAATCAATCTTAAGGGCATGAATGAATTTTATTATTACCGTCACAGACCAGGAGTGCAAAACTTTAAAACCAGAGATTTTTTTAAAAGTATTAACGTTAAGGGCATGCATATACTATTAATTTGTAATGTGTGAGTGTTGAATCCTAGCCAGTTTGCTTCCAGCTATCCTGCAACTTTAATATTGAAAATACCAGGGTACTAGTACACATTGTCATATATAAATGCTAAACACAGTGTTTTGTCATTTTTTTTTTACTTTGGCCACTGGTACAGGAAACTTAAATGCTGTACTGCACGGGGTTTTCAAACAGCTTCGTAGAGCCCTTGGGGGCTCTGTGGTGCCATCCTACTCTTCTCTTCCTCTTTTCTCTTCCTGAGAAATGCAGGGAAATTAAAGTTTTGAGCTGCTGAAAACAACAATTTGATTTAATGATCTAGCTTCATTGAGACTGACAGTTTGATTTAATGAGAAAGGTACCTAAAAGCAAAAGTACCTGAAAGCATTATCTACAAAAAGCCTTTTCCATGTGCTTTGGATCACTCAGACACATCTCTCATATTTTGCTTTTTCCCCATAAAATGCCTTTAAAGTAGAATAGGTAGAACACATTGTTTTGGGCACCTTCTTGGCAATATTAGCACTGATGATTATTACACCTGTGCCAGATGTGATGAGCTACACTGCAGGCGAATTGTTGAGCAAAATCATACACTGTATTCATACTTCAATAGATTCATACACACATGCCTACCTTTTCCATTAGAGCAATTCATTGCATAGTCTTATGAGCATTCATATTATAGTTAAAGCATGTTAAATACAAGTATTTAATAAAAAGGAAGATACATAAAACATTTGATCTTTTCTTTATAGGAGAATATAAATATTCAGGTCGGGACACTTTGCTTTTCTTAGTGGATGCATCAAAAGCTATGTTTGATTCCTTTGATGATGATGATGATTTGGCTCCTTTTGATATGACAATCCAGGTAAGATAACTTTTCAGAAAATTAATGCTGATTGCACATTTTGGAGTTTTTGAAGCAGAATTCACTGACAGTACATTTTTATGATCTATTCTTTCGATATAGTTCAATTACTGTTAGCATGATTTTTACTGTAGAGAGAGCCAAAATGTTGCTTTCTTTTAATTTTCTGTGAAATGCACAAGATTTAATGTGGTGACTGTGTCTTTAAATGGAGAAATATATATAAAAATATATTTAAGGCCTTTGGAAATTTTTTGTTTTTCTGCTCACCAGTGTGAGTTTGAGTGCTTGAAGATTGCATCCTTCCCCATATTGTTGTTACTAAGTTTTTATACCTTCTTTTAAAGTAAAGACTATGTCACCTAATACTGTATTAATAATTTTCAAATACTGTTGTAATGGGTAAGTTCCTAAGCAATAATCAGCCCATTCTGTAAATTTTCATAATTTGAAATTTCTGTAGGAATCAGACCAATTACAGCTTTGTCTCGAGTAAGTGTGGATTGGATTGTAGTCTTAACATAGATCTGAGATTTTTTTACATGCCATGAGTGACTTGAGAAACTGCAAGTTACTTCTGGTGTGAGAGAATTGACTGTCTGCAAGGACGGTGCCCAGGAGACGCCCGGATGTTTTACCATCCGGTGGGAGGTTTTCTCATGTCCAAGACTATCAGTGAGTTTGAAGTTTAGGGGAAGAGATGTATCAGTTGATCCTCTGAGCACAAATGTAAAAAGCGTTATACTGTAGTTATAACAATCTCCTCCACCCTGATGGACAACAGTTATGCCTGAAAAAGTAATACATTAGGGCATGATTGAGGGGAGGCCTGAGGAACGCTACTTTCCTACCCCTAATATTGATAATACTGACAATGATCTCTTGGTACAATACATCTTTTGTAGCTAGATTTTCTTAGCCAGAGATTTCCTGTAAAGATTAACACTATATAATCCTTAGCATAACTCTAAAAATTCTAATTTCACTCATCTCCTTAAATTACAAGGTAATGTAAAAATAGTGTCTTTTTTGGTGGCCTTTTCCTTCTTTTTTCTAGCTGATTTGTCTTTTCTTATTAGTGCATCCAAAATGTGTACACAAACAAGATCATCAGCCACGACAGGGATCTTGTTGGCGTTGTGTTTTATGGTACAGAGCAGTACAAAAATTCAGTGGATTTTAAGTATATTTATGTTCTTCAGGATTTGGACAATCCAGGTAAAAAAGAGACCACTTCCTTTTATCAGGCACCCTGTTGTATTTTCTGTATAGTATCTACTATATAGCTGGTATATAATAATTATTTAGCATCATTAATTTGATAAATATTTTGAAGTATTTTTTCACAGAAAAAAACGCTTTGAGTCCCCCTAGGGGTGAGAAAAGCAGTATATAAATACTATAAATAAATAAATAAAATACAGAGCATCAAGTTTTTAAGAATATATTGAGTCATTTCAAGGTTTATCCATTCAATTTCCTTTTTTTTAAACTGATGTTAAAAGACATTATACTTCAGTGGCATTAGATGAAGCATGATGGAGACATTATTCAAAGAAAATAGATCTTCAGAATATCCATTAGATATTTTTGTGTGTGCAAACACCCCTAGCAGACTATGGCCTGAGTTTCTACAACCAAAATTTTAATTTCAGACATTTCCATTTTTGAGACACATTTATTCAAAAGCTAAGAAACAATTAGCACTTGATTGCAAAGAAAGCTCCTGTGCTGAGGAGTTGATTGGTTTCTCAAATTGGAAAAGAAATATTATAGGCAATTCTTGAAATGATCAGCAGATTACGGCTTCTGTTCATGACTTTGTAGTACGAATTACTTATTAGGTGAGCCCCTCATGGTTTGCTCCAGTCTGTGTGTGACTTTGAGCAGAAATGTAGCCATTTTATGTTATTAGCTTTTTTTTAGGATAGAGCAAGGAACTAGTCATAAGTATTTCCATTTTTCTTGCTTATCACTAGGAGCCAAACGAGTTTTGGAATTGGGAAAGTACAAGGGAGAACAGGGGAAGGCTCTCTTCAGCAAAACATTTGGCCATAGCACCAACTATTCATTAGGTGAGGCCCTCTGGGTTTGCTCCAATCTTTTCAGTGATGTCCGACTCAAGATGAGCCACAAGAGGATTATGCTGTTCACCAATGAAGATAACCCTCATGGTCAAGACAGCACTAAAGCCAAATTTGCTAGGACCAAAGCTACAGACCTCCGAGAGACAGGTTAGTATTTCACATTAGAGACGAAGTATAACTTGGAGCCAGAGAACACCAGAGACTGAATTCTTGTTTGGCTTTGGAAAACCACTAGATGTCTTTGACCAAATCACATTCTCTTATCCCCGATCCTTTTTGAACAGATCTTTCTAAGAAAACCCCATGATGGGTTTGCCTTAGGATTACCGCAAATGAGACATGAAGTAAAGGCACACAACAACAACAGTAACCTGGAGTAAAGATTTCATCACATTAAACATCAATCTCATATTTGCAAAACTGTCTCTGAATGCAATTTGTTAAGAACTGTTATTGTGGAGCCAGTTTTGTATAGCAGTGACAAATGAGAAACAGGAAGCTACCATCTGGACATGAATTTTGTGCTCCAATTGCTATTGACCCCCTTCCATGCTTCTTTCTCTTTGATACTTGAAACTGAAGAACGGAGCTCCCGTTCCAATGCTTGCTTGCTTGCTTTTTCTAGCAGGGATAAAAATAGAGATAAAGGAGAAAGTTAACTTCATTTGCATTTTTATCTCATTCTCATCCAAGCATTGTGTCAATAAGGGAAGGAATCCATGAGCATTTTAGAAAAGGAAGGCAAGTTCCCCTTCTCTTGATTAAGAATTCAGCTTAAATGGAATTGTTCTGCCTCCAGAGACAGACTCTATAATTTGTTACCTGTGCCTTTAAGGATATGAGAGGGGAGAAGAAGCTCAAGCCTCAGTTTCAGAATGGCAGCTTTGACAGTTGCGCATATCAGTTGGAGGTGTGGAAGGAAACAGAGGGATAGAAAGTACACAGACATTCCTGTCCATTCGGCGATAGATAGTCAAGTCAGAGATAATCAGTTAGATATAGAGTTATTTAGATAAAAGTTAGATATAGATAGTGACATTGTGGCATACATAGCAAAGTATTAGTAGTCACATCTAATATCTATATAGTAAAACAACAGCAGTCACATTTTGAGTTAAGTACAGGGCTGCAGAAGCTTATAGGATTTCCTTTTCATAAAGTCTTCTCAGTAGCAACTAGGGAAAGGGAAATTCAGTTTGTTTTGTGTTATAATTCCTTCCAAATCACTTTCATAGCAACACAGAGGCAGAACAGTAATGAAAGGGAACTGATAGCTAGACATGATTACATATGTGCAGTGTTCCATCATTAATAACCAATAATAATCAGTTGCTTCATGCTCATTTCATGGGCCCTTTATTTTGATACTCTTAAAACTTATATGCATAAAACCTGGAAAAGTAAGTGGAGTCTACAACAAGACATTGCAATAAGATGTACTTTCTGTTTAGGCTTCCACCTGCTTTTCCCAGTGCATGAAATTAGTCAACATTCCAATGAACACACTTAAGTCTTTATTAGATGATAGAAGGAGTTCCTATTAAATATTTTTATGTAGCTCTGCAAACATTAGGACTATTCCAAGCCTGCTTAATTTTTACTCTGTGGATGATGCAATTTTAGCTATATGAGCAATATAGCACATAGTCAGAATATTAAAAAATAGAAAGAATGATAATGTGCAGTTCCTAATATTAAAAGCAGACAATTACTTTCCTCCAATTTTGCTTGACTCTAGGTATATACCTCGACTTAATGCACCTGAGGAAGCCCGGAGGATTTGATATCTCCTTGTTCTACAGGGACATCATTAATACAGCAGAGGATGAGGACTTGGGAGTCCACTTTGATGAATCCAGCAAGCTAGCAGACCTTATGAAGAAAGTAAGAGCAAAAGAGACAAGGAAGCGAGCTTTAGGCAGGTGAATATCGAGAAAAAAATGAATTCTTATTCTCTTAGAAATGTGGTAAAATCCTTTTCGTAATAATAATAATAATAATAATAATAATAATAATAATTTCTTACCCACCTCTCCCTAAAGTTGAGGTAGGTTACAACAGAATTAAAAAAATTGTGAGGTGAGTTTAGATAGAAATGTGCTAACTATAGAATGTTATACTGTTTACACTGTTAAGTGGAAGTTGATATGCAATGTAAGATTTAGAAATCTTGAACCTGTATTTTCTGATTTTACACAGGTTGAATTTCTATCTGGGAAAAGATGTGGCTCTTTCTGTTGGTATTTTTAACTTAGTCCAAAAAGCTTTCAAACAGCCCCCTGTGAAACTTTATAGAGAAACAAATGAGCCTGTAAAAACAAAAACACGCACTTTTAACAAAGAGACGGGTAGCTTGCTTCTGCCTAGTGACATGAAGAGGGCTCAGGTAATGTACCCTTACAGTTTATTTATTCATCCACCCTCCTGAATGACCATTTAAATATCCGAAGACCTCTTCCAGGAATATTGTAATGCCTATCATGATTTTCTAACTCTAGTAAGCTGACTGTCTATAGCTCAGCAATTACCAAGTGTCTTTTAATACCATTTGTGTACAAAAGATTCTTCATTTATTAACTTTTCCCAAAAGAGTTCTGGAAATTAATTTAATTGGTCAAGTTTTATTATTCAGGAGGAGTAGCTGATCACATTCTATCAAATGCTGGAAATAGTATGAGTGCAAACTATGAATCCATTTTTGCAAGCATAATTTTCTTTTCTGTCGATAGTTGAGTTCTCATAATTTATCATGGCCAGTTATTAAAATTGAAAGTAATATTCAGAAATTTATATTCCAGAAGACATATAACACAAATATAGTGTTACACGTTGCATAACAAGTGGCTTATGGCACTAGAAGTGGTAATCAAATGCTTTGTATAGTCTAGAATTATAGAATGTTTTCAATGTTTGTGAGTTTTGACTGCTATGACCCGCCTTGAGCCATGAGGAGAGGCGGTAGGAAATATATATAAATAAATAGATAAATAAATAAATAAATAAAGTTATGCTTGCCATAGTCATTGTGAAGCTAATTGTCTCTCTGTAGTGGATTGTTATTTGTTTTAGAAATGTATATCCAGTTAACTAACAGTGGGTGCCTTTCTTGGGTTGCCAGGTGATCATTAGGAGAAAGTGGATCATAATTTTGTTGAGGGAGGTGTGATCAGAGACTTACTTTATATGTTCGAAGCTATTGATTTCTTACAAAGAAAATGTATGCTGTGCTAAAGCCTGCAAGAATGATCGCAATGTCACTTCCCCTAGATATGTATTTTCCTCTAATTGCAGCAATTGTTGTAATTCCTATAGCTACTTCTCTTCTTACCCCCTCCATTTTTAGATCTATGGCAACCGTCAAATTGTATTGGAGAAAGAGGAGGTGGAAGAAACAAAGCGATTTGATTCACCGGGTTTATATCTGGTTGGTTTCAAGCCCTTGGTAATGCTGAAACAACATCATTACATCAAGCCAGCTCAGTTCATCTATCCAGACGAGTCCTTGATTAGTGGTATGCATGTGTTTAAATGATGGCTCTCACATAGTAGGATTTCAAATATAAAAATGTGAGTTGGTGAAATTACTAAAATTATTGGATGAGATAGATTTTATGTATCCATACCTATTGAGACTCAAAGTAGGATGTAGGCTCTCTCCCTGTATCCACCTTAGCAATATTTCTATAGGATCTGACAGTATCACTCAAGAGATGAGTCTCAATTATAAAGAACTGGTCAAGGAAATATTTATTTAAGGATTCACAGGTGTACAACGTTTGATGGTTATTCTGTATTCCTTTAAATGTTGTTACATTTGACTTTAGTTAAACAGTTTCCAATATAACTTTCAGTGTGGCTTTTACTTTCACCAGACTGGTTTTAAACTTATTTCACTGCAATGTATCTTTCTTTTCTTAACTGACAATTCAAGGCATTGACTTGCCTTTTTCTCCCTTCAGTTATCCCCACCGAAGTTATGGATTTCTACTGGGGTCTCTTTTCCCCTTAGCTCACGAGCTAATTACTAATTTAAACAGGTTCAGTTGACTCTGTAAACACACAGGCTGAAAACTTAAACCCCTGGGTTCAGTTTCCCCACACACCAGAACCCAACTTCCACTTTTGTCCACTGACTAAAAGAAATCTGACTCTTTTAAAATGCCTGCCCCTGCCAAGTGGCAGTTAGCTCCGCCCCTTTGGCTTCTCTAACTTGAATACATTCTAACAGTCTGTTCCATCGCTATGGCAACACATCAGCTCAGGCGACACATAAGCTGGCCTGCACTTATCCTATCCCAACATCAATAAACGCATTTAAAACATACATTATAATTAGCTATTTCTTTACACGTACCTTCAAGTTGTTACTAATTTATGGTGATCTTAAGATAAATGTTCATTGTGGCATTGAAGTGTGCCAATGTAAGCCGCCTTGAGTCGCCTTTGGGCTGAGAAAGGTGGCATAGAAATGCAGAAAATAAATTAATAAATAAATAACCCTGTCTTGGGGTTTTCTGGGATGGAGAGTGTTTAACTCACCCAAATTCACCCAGTGAGTTTTGTGGCTGAGTGAAAAATCGAACTCTGGGCTCTAGAACCGTAATCCAATTTTCAAACTACCACACCATGCTGGCTTATGATTTCAAATATGTTTTTAATTTAGTGGCTTTATTATGGTCACAGTCCGTCCTAGAGAAAGGCAAAGCCAACCCTTCACCTCTTTGCATAAACCTTGCCAAGAAAACCAAGTCATATCTTTTCCTTAGGGTTGCCATAAGATGAAAATGACTTGAAGGCACACAACAAATATTGTTTTGAGTGTTATGCAGTATAAACCCTTGAAAGCAGCATATTTGAGCGACAGCTGTTGGTGCTTCGTATTATTGCCAACATCACCTCAAAAAGCAGTATATTTAAAAACAGGCACTTTTTAATTGCTCCAACACTTCCAACTTGTAGTAACCACACTAAAATACAATCATTTGATTTGCTAATAACACTGTTTATCTTCTTTTTAAAGGAAGTGTTCTGATTTGCCCTTGGATTTAAGCATAATTAAACTTGAACAGCCTCAGGGTGCCCCCAGCTTCTCATTTGACAAGAGTAGCTAAAATACTGTATGTTTGGGGGAAATTATCATTTGGAAAACACAAAATCAAAACGCAAAGGACACCTCTGAAAAGCTCACTGTATTTTCTAAAATTTCAAAGAAATGTTTTGAACATTAAATCAGGTAACCTTGTTAACATTGAATTCTGTTTTTAGGAAGTACTGCACTGTTCCGTGCCCTGCTGACAAAGTGTCTGGAGAAAGGAGTGATGGCCATATGTAGGTACACTGCCCGTCGGAACACCCCTCCTAGGTTTATAGCCCTGACCCCGCAGGAAGAAGAACTGGATGAGCAGAATGTGCAGATATCTCCTCCAGGTAATTTCTTGGCACTACTCATTCATGGCATTTCTTTGTTGCTTTCCTGACTAGATACACTCCTTTTTAAATAAAAAAACAAAAACCTTGACTAGAACACATTACAGTTCATTTGTGAGTTTCTTTTTGTGATGATAGATGTGGGCCTATCTAATCCCCTCACACCTTCATGCCTATACATGTTTCCAGATATGTTGCAATCCATCCTATTGCTTCGTCATAGTTCGTTTTTAAAAAGTAAACTATAACGATGCTATTGTTTCCTGTCGTAGTCACTGCGAATCATACATTTGGTAATCTCTGCGCCTGCATCGCAGCTTTCGGAACCCTTTAAAAGCAAAAAATGACAGTTAGCCCTTGGCCACGCCCACTCCCCCCGCATAAATAGCCCGTGGGCGGGGCCAGCCGGCAGTTCTCTTCATCCGCGCTGAACAAGCAGCTGGAGAACCCTTTCACTCTTGCGAGCTATCTGGATTTAACGGTTTATTTTTATTGACTACCTGTTGCCAGTACTAGCATGGCAACCAACTCTTTTAAAAAATGTATTAAATGCCCAAATATACTACCTGACAATGATGGGCATGACCTTTGCCTTGCCTGTTTGGGCGAGGCTCATTTATATCAATCCTGTTCAGTCTGCCAAGCCTTCACACTGCAGACTAGGAAAAATAGGATTTTAAGACTGAAAGCAGCTCTTTACGAAAGAGCCCTTCTTCCATCGGCAGATCCTATTAAGATTGATCTACCTATTGCAGGAGCCGCGGCGGCAACTAAAAAGAAAGTAAAGAAGTTAAAAGACAAAGTGCCCCAAGATGGCCGAACGGCTGTAGTAAAAAAAACGGCCGCTTTGGGATCAGCAGGGAGTTCGTTAACTGCCCGTCATTCTGCTGGAGTTCCTTTGAGGCCGAAGGACAGGGGCGAGGGACTCCCCCTGTTGGCAGAAAAAAGTTCAACTGTAACTCCAATCCAGGAGAGGCGCGAGGAGGAGCCGAGATCGGCAAAACTTACCCCTCCTATGCCGGTGCTTCTGCCTAACCAACCCCCTCTCGAAGGGGGATTGGGATCCTTGACTCCAGGCGCTGCCGCGCTCCATGTTGTGCCTCCGATGTCGATAGACATGCAAGGGGAGGCAATGATTGCGGAGAGCCCCCTGCCCGCTCAAAGCTCTGCTGCGGGCGCCAATGTCGAGCCTAACGAAGGGGCGGGGCGCAGAGGCGTAGCCCAACCCACCACTAGCGTGCGGTCTGAGGAGGCGGGGCACGCAATTATGACTCCGCCTGCCGACGTCGAAGCCGGAGAAGGAGGGAGGCGCTCAAGCTTGGCTCCTCCCTTAATGGATACTGCTCCGCCTGACTTTGGGGCGCAGGAAGGCTTGGAAAGACCTTCACCAAGTTGCGCTTCCAGAAGGGGAAGTAAGCGCCCTAGACGCTCCAGAGCGCCTTCGAGGCGGCGCTCCCAATCTCGCCGCAGCCGATATCGATCGGCCTCAAGGGGCGGTGCTCATGAGCGTTCCTCTTCCTCCTCCTCCTCCACATCATCATCACGGTCCCCTTCTCCCCCCTCGAGACGATCCAAACGTCATAAGCATCATTATTATCCATATCCACCTTATTGGGGTCGTCCACCCATGGGTTATTACCCTCATCCAGGCTGCTGCCAGAATGAACATATGTCCCATAGGATGCCTCCGCATACTCCTAATGTTATAGGTCATGGACAGAGATATTTGCAAGGCCAAAGGCCAGGGGACCTGAGGGCTGAGCCGCACCCTGCTGATATACAGGGCCCTTCAACATCAGCAGCAGCTAATGTTAGACAACCATGTATGACACAGAGTGTGCAAAATGCGCATCATACATCTGCAGCTTCATGTGCACCGCTGGCTACATCACACCAGTCAACTAATGCTCTGGGTAATGAGCTGATCCCGACAAGGCCTATTGCTGTGCCACAGACATCTGTTCCTGATTTGCACAATGTTGCACCAGCATCCTTTCAGGGTCAAGGTGAATCAACCCCTCAGGGTCCAGACTGTGTTTCTCAGATTGAGAAGGTTGAACAGACACAAGAGCGTTTGGACAGTTCTTCAGAGGACTCTGAAATACCTGAGTACCTTTGTCAGGGGGACAATGAGAGCGCTCCTGCTATGCACTCTACTGAAATAAATAAATTTAATGTACTAGTGGGAAGGATGATTAAGGCATTGGATCTCCCCGCCCCGAAGGCCCCGGAGCATGTTGATGATCCCGTGTTCCCTTCTGATGAGCAGGTGTCATCACCGGCTACTGTTCTTCCCGTGCTACCCTATCTATTGAAGTTAGCACGCGTAATAGATATGTCCCCGACATTAGTGCCAGCAATTCCAAGGAGACTTGATATGTTATATAAAATTGATGTATCCTCAAATAAGTGGGTGGTTGCCCCTCCAAGGCCCAATACTGTTGTGGCAGAAGTGGCAAAAACTAGACGTCCCAAAAATACCCTCACAACACCTCCTGATAAGGAGGGGAAAAAGATAGACACTTTGGGTAAGAAGGCACACTTATCCGCGGGCCTGCTCATGCGTATGGCACATTATGCCACATACCTGAGCGGGTACCAAAGTTTTTTATGGGCCAAAATGTTACCATATATAGACATGCTTCCTACTGAGCGCCAGCGATTCCCTAAGGCTTTACAAGCAGAGGCTATAGTATTATCTAGGATTCAAAAAGATTTTGCGAAACATCTGGCAGAGATGGCAGGCAATTTGTATTCTACGGCTACGTCAATACGACGCCATGCATGGCTACGCTCCGCTAACTTATCGGAGGAAGGTAGAGCGTTAGCTGAAGACCTTCCTTTCCATGAGGAAGGTCTTTTTAACCCGGAAACTGATATCAGGATTAAGGAAAAACAGGATGTCAGGCAGGCTGCCAATAAGTTTGGTTACACCTGGCAGCCATACTCTCAACAGAGACAACGCTGGCACCCGTATAGTTCTAACTTCCGGAAGAGCCCTGGGAACTCGTTCCCTAGCCAGGGTAGGAATCGGGGTTACAATTATAACAAAAGTCAGGCAGGTAGACGAAATTCGTATTTTTCTAGGCCAAGGTCCCAGAACTGGACTAACAAGGGGAAACCGCAGGGAAATCCTAAAAAGCGTCTTTGACGCTCTGAGTCTGGATCCGACTTTAAGAACTGATGTGCCTGTTGTTGGTTTAGAAGGCACAGAAGTTAATGTTAATGTTTTTTGTTCTGTTCCCCGGAATGTCTCGTTAGGAGCACCTATGTTTGGCGATAGATTAGCGCCTTTCCATAAAGTGTGGGCTCAAATCACCACGGACAAGTGGGTTCTATCTATCATAGCCCAGGGTTATTTTATTGAGTTCTTAGACCTACCACGAGTGGGTCATGTTCGTCATACTCAGTTCTCCCAACCGTTATGGGAAGAGGTTCAGATGTTGTTGGGTAAGGGTGCCATCTCTCCCCTTAATGATGATGTTTATTCTCAGTGTTTTTTCTCACGTTATTTTCTCATTAAAAAACGCACTGGTGGCTTGAGGCCGATTTTGGATCTTCGGTTGTTGAATAAACACGTTATACCAAAAAGATTTCGCATGATTACTCTTACGACCATCATGCCCCTATTATATAAGGGAGCGTGGTTTGCGACCATTGATTTAAAGGATGCGTATTTTCATTTGTCCATCGCTAGGCACCACTGCAGATACCTCGCCTTTATGGTGGGTCACACTGCGTATTGTTTCAATGTATTACCTTTCGGATTGTCCTCGGCCCCTAGGGTCTTCACAAAATGTATGTCCGTGGTAGCAGCTTACCTGCACACGAGGGGGATATCGGTCTATCCGTATATAGATGATTGGTTAGTTGTGGCTGACTCTCGTTCCCATCTTCAGTCTCAACTTTCTGTCATTTTGTCTCTTATACAGTCGCTAGGACTCATCATCAACACGGAGAAATCGGCACTCAACCCGTCTCAACGAATTCAATTCATAGGCGCCCTCTTGGACTCCACGACCGAGAGGGCCTATCTTCCAGAAGACCGGTGTGCCAATCTCCAGGACCTAGTCAGACAGGCTGTCCATGCTCCTTATCTTACTGCAAAGCAGGTCCAGATTTTGTTGGGCCACATGGCATCTCCAACTGCTGTGATTCCTTATGCCAGATTACGCATGCGCCCGCTGCAATCTTGGTTCATTTCGGTTTACAACCCTATTATGGACAGTCAGGCAATCAAACTTTCCATTCCCGAGGCTGTCCGCCAGTCACTTCTATGTTGGGAGGACAGGTCTTGGGTGTGCAGGGGCTTCCCCTTCCATGCCTCCAGGCCGACTTGTACGGTTACGACAGATTCCTCCCTGTCGGGATGGGGTGCCCATGTTCTAGGTCTTACTGCTCACGGAGAGTGGACAGAAGAAGAAAGAAAAAGTCACATAAATCTTCTCGAACTTCTCGCCGTAGAAAGAGCATTACAGTCGTTCGAGAGGGTTGTGAGAGGTCAAACCATTCAAATTCTCAGACAATACGACTGTGATGTTTTATTTGAACAAACAGGGCGGCACACATTCTCTCCCCCTCTTGAATCTCACTCTCAGGATCTGGGATTGGTGCTTGGAGAGAGGGATTCATCTGGTAGTAACTCATGTGCCAGGGGAGGAGAACACGCTAGCGGATTCGCTCAGCAGGAATCCGCTGGCGAACCACGAATGGTCCCTCAACCAGGGGGAGGTGGACAGACTTTTTCAGGCCTGGGGTCTTCCGGAGATAGATCTGTTTGCGTCCCAAGCAAACGCAAAGTGCGCCCTCTTTTGCGCACGAACGCGCCCTGCATTAAGGGAGGGGTGCTTGGGAGACGCCTTCCTGCAAGAATGGTCAAGTTGCCCAATGTACGCATTTCCACCTTTTCCCCTGTTATTGAAGGTAGTAGCAAAGATACAGGGGGAAAACGCACATTGTATTCTAGTAACCCCATGGTGGCCGAGACAGCCTTGGTTTTCCCCACTGCTTCGAATGTCCCAGAGAATCTTCTTCCGTCTTCCCAACAGAACGGATCTGTTGTCCACTCAGGGAGGTCAGGTCCTGTACCCGGAGGTACAGAAGCTGAGGCTGACAGCTTGGAGAATCTTGCCGAGCCATTGATCCCTATTTCAGCCCTGTCTGGTAGGGTTCAGACTGTTATTGAGGCTGCCCATAAGGCCTCAACAAAAAGATCGTATGTCTATAAGTGGGCTAAGTTTTGTATGTTTGTGAGGTCGAGAGGTGAAGATCCTACCACTGTCCCGGTCACGACGATACTAGATTTTCTGGTGTCTCTTTCTGATGCAGGATTATCATACTCGTCGCTTAAATGCTATCTTGCGGCGATCTCTTGGTTTCAAAGAAAAGGGGGTTTTTCCTCTTGCTTTTCTCACCCATTAGTTAAATTGTTTTTAAGAGGAATGGCGAATACCAATCCACCTGTGGCACCAATAGCCCCAGCATGGAACCTTGAGTTGGTACTTTCCTTTTTGACCAAACCACCATTTGAGCCTTTAGCTACTGTGCACATTGCGTACCTTTCATGGAAAACGGCCCTTTTGACGGCCATTACTTCAGCTAGGAGGGCAAGCGAATTGTGCGCACTACGGGTAGACCCCCCTTATTTGAGGATGCACAAAGATAAAGTAGTGCTCAGAACGGATGTTGCCTTTTTACCCAAGGTATCTTCCTTTTTTCACATGTCCCAAGAGATAATACTTCCCTCGTTTTTCCAAAACCCATCCTCGCCCACGGAACGCAGTTTGCATCTATTAGATGTCAGGAGGTCTATAGCATTTTATATGGACAGAACGGCGTCCCTCAGGAAGACGCCACGCTTATTTATCAAATATCGTAGAGACATGGTAGGATTACCTGTTTCATCCCAAAGATTTTCTTCCTGGATTACTTCAACTATTAAGTTATGCTACCGTTTGGCTGGCAAAGACTTACCGTTACAGGTGAAGGGCCATTCCACCAGGGCCGTGTCAACCACGACTGCCTTTATGAAGGGAGTGCCATTGGACGTCATCTGTCGAGCAGCTATTTGGACGAGCCCTCTGTCGTTTGTGTCCCATTACAAGTTGGACATCGCCTCCAAGAGAGATGCAGAGTTCGGCAGAGCGGTGCTGTTTTCGGCGGTGGCATGACTCCCTCCATCCACGGTCAGTAGCTCGCTAATCTACCAAATGTATGATTCGCAGTGACTACGACAGGAAATTATAAGTTGCTTACCTGTAACTGTAGTTTCCTTAGTAGTCACCTGCGAATGCATACATACCCGCCCTTCCTCCCCTCATGTGTCATGCCGCGCCTTCCAGCTGCTTAGCGGCGGAAGAGAACTGCCGGCTGGCCCCGCCCACGGGCTATTTATGCGGGGGGGGGAGTGGGCGTGGCCAAAGGCTGTCATTTTTTGCTTTTAAAGGGTTCCGAAAGCTGCGATGCAGGCGCAGAGATTACCAAATGTATGCATTCGCAGGTGACTACTAAGGAAACTACAGTTACAGGTAAGCAACTTATAATTTATATCTGTGGTTGAGTGTGATCTAAATCAAATGTCTAATGTTTAGTGGAAAGCCAGTTAATAGGCTTAGAAATCAGTTTGTTGGGGGAAAATGGCTTTAGAAGAAAACAGATTTTTACCCACATCTTTACTTAGTGGCCCATTTTTGATAATTGGTGTTACATCTACAGTTTCTCATCCTAGTTCTGAACTTTGTGTTTTATATTGACAAAATGGAGAATTTACTTGAAACTTCTCATTTATTTTTCTTACCTTCTACTTAGGTTTTCATCTGATTTTCCTACCATATGCAGATGACAAACGGAAGATAGATTTTACAGAAAAAGTCCCAGCTAATCAAGAACAGGTGAACAAAATGAAAGAAATTGCTCAAAAGCTGCGATTCAAATACAGGTAATGATGCACAGAAGGCCAAAAGTGTGCACAATTATTACATCTGTACTTAGCAAACAGCTTTTGGAGAAAGCTCTAGGAATTCTTAATTTCAATAAATAATAGTACCCCACCTGGTGGTAATATAAAACCCACAGACTAAGCTTGGATTGAGCCTAATATTTCAAGTACAAGGTAGTGTCCAAGTTACAAACAACTTATAGTTAGGAACGGGGGTGAGATAGCAGGAAGTAAGAGAAGTCTACCCTTCAGAAGAGATATTCACTCCTGAAAGAGTTGTCATGGGGAAAAGGTGTCTCCACTAAAGTTTTCTCAAAAATTCTTGTTTTCACAACAAGCCAAATTGTTCAAAATCCAATTATCACAGGAAGAGAAAATAATATTAAGTCTTCTGAAGAGAGGCACAGAAGGCAAAACAAACACCACAGGGTATTTGTGTATGTGTGTTTGATTGCATATTTAAAGTTAACTAGCCATATATACACACACATATATAGCTAGAGTTACACTTGAAATAAAATCACTTCTGGAACTATATCTATTTTTGGACAACATTAACTTTCCTTGGTTCCCCTTCCCCTTTTGGATTTCAACAGGAGTGAGAGTTTTGAGAATCCAGTTCTGCAGCAGCATTATATGAACCTAGAAGCCTTGGCACTGGACCTGATGGAACCTGAAAAGGCTGAGGATCTGACCAGTAAGAAACGGATGTCCAGTTATACGTTTTTAAAAAGTGTTACTTAGCAATTCATAAACATTAGAAACACATTGAGGAATGACACGCACAATCTGATGTGGTAAACAGAATTATTTGTGAAACAAAATATTGTCTAAGTCAAAAAACTTTTTTTAGCTTGCCCACCTAAAAGCTAGGATTTTGTTTTTACTCTGTTTTTCATTATTTGAAACAACAGACTTCAACCTCTTAAAAGTGTGTTCTTTCCAGGCAGCAGGAGAGATTTACTACTCTTGACCTCCTGCTTAACAACTTTAAAAGTAATGGTGAAGATTTCCTTAGCTATTTTTCTTCTAGCTTTCTGGAATGCAATTCCTTGATTGAATTAATTTATTCAAAATTAGCCAAGTATTCTTGCTGTTTTTCTTTTCTAGCATTTCTGACCATTCTTATATCTTGTCATTAAGACTGAAACAAAGAAAATTAAGCATTTCAGCTTTTGCAGTGTCTTTTTTGTTTTTTATCCTTGTTTCAGTAACAATTTACTGTGTCCTAGATGTATTCCTTCTATGAACTAAAATATTTTAAGAAGTTTTTTTTTATTGGAAGCTACTAGTTTCTGAGCATTCAAAACATGCATGGATGGCAGTGATTGAGGTCTTTCACAGGCAGGCACATGAGAGGTAAATTTAGACCTCTTGACAATGCTCTGTGAACAGTTTGCTCAGTACTTCGCAGATAAAATTTATTCGATTGGATTTTACTTAGATTATATAACTAATACAGATCTTTTGAATGTAATATTGGTTCCTGATTTTCAAGTGATAATGTTGATACTATTAAATCTGTACGGACTGGTGATATTAATAGGATTCTTGATGAGAGCCACCATGTGTATGTTATATCCTTGCTTATTAAAAAGCCAGAGGGGGACTGACTGAATGGATAGAAGGTGTAGTCAGTGTTTCACTAAAACAAGGCAGAGTTCTGGTGTGTATAAAGGAGGAGTTATAAGACCATTACTGAAAAATGCCTCCCTGAATGCCATGATGGTAGACAACTCTTTGGTGTTCCTGAATAAGTTTGCCATTGTTCTGCTGGACTTCTCAGTAGCTTTCTGTATTCTGGCTCATGGTATCCCTTTCAATAATAATAATAATAATAATAATAATAATAATAATAATAATAATAATAATAATAATAATATTGTCTTGTTGGGATGGGATTTGGAGACACTGTTTTACAGCAGCTTTGTTCCTTCCTAGAAGACTGAACCCAGAAGGTGTCATGAATGGCTTTTCAATAACTTTGAAGCATAGATTCTTTTTATTGCAATTTCCAGTGTGAGAAGGTATATCAGATTACAGAAAATATTTAGACAAAGAATGACATTGGACATACAGATGTATAGATTCTATGCAACTACATTGGATTTACAATTACATTGGTCAACAAACAAACAAAGGGGAATTACATTTTCACTCAGCATTCACACACATGTACACACATTCATCCACATGCATCCAAATATTACCCATATCATTTTTTCCTCCTTGGAGAAACACCTGTTAGGCCAGACCCTGATTTCCTGCAGCCTGTAAATGCATAGTTCCATAACGCCAGAACTTCAAAACGCCGATATGCCAAAACTTCTTTCCCTAAGCACAATGCCAAGGACCAAATCTCTGTTTTCCATACAGCAGAACCTGACTCCCTGCACAAAATCTAAGACTCCAAAAGTGCACTTCTTCATCTTCCCTTGAGAAGGAAGCCTCAAAGTGTATAGAATCATGCTTTGCCATAGCATATCTGACACTCTCAGGATACACCCTCTCTCTGCTTCCCATGGAATACAGCATGGCGGGTGAACCAGACTCCTCAGGTCGGTCACAATTTGAGCATTATTAGACTGAGTCTTTTATAGGAATTTTCCGTTGATGTAGTACCGAAGTTGTAAGTTAATGATAGACGTCTTCCATCCTGGCTCCATCTCAGTTTCCTGGCCAGATGTTGATCTTCTTGATTGGTGTTGATCTTATGTTGACTTCCTTCTTAACATAAGGAATGTTGCAAACATTTCCTTAACTTGAAAGAACCATTGTCACAGTTCTTATCAATTCTCATTAGCATGTTTTGATCACAGTTCCAGCAAGCAGATAGTTAGTCATTGCAGGCCTTAATATTTTACTGGTGTCTCCAAAATTATTAACTCTATCCATACATCCTTCCATTCTTCCATTCATTCCCACACATCATATTAAATTCATATTTGTTAAATCTGCCCATTGAATTTCTTGTGACAAAGGTGTTGATAGTGGATGTCTGTTTGACCCCTTGATTTGTGGGGTCCCTCTGCATTCTGTTTTGTCCACCATGCTACTTAAAATATCTAGTATGATATATGTACCCATGGGACTGGTACCCACAGATTCACCAAATAATCCGACAAAATATGTACTCTGTGTCCTCCAGGAGATTCTGTGATATCCTTTTGTTAGAAGAAGGGGGTTTTTCATTGGTTGGTGGCAGGTCTGGAATTCCTTTCCTAGAGAGAATAGACTGGCACTTTATTTGCTGTCATATTGCAGGCAGGTTAAGGCCAATTTAGTTTGAGCTGGCTTTTGAAGACTGACCACTTGTATATTGTGTTACATTGTCTATTTGTTCTTTTCTTGTAATGGATGTTTTACTTTGCATTTTAATGTTTTAATGAGGCAGTTATTAAACTATATTTGTTGTAATCTTGTATAAACTGCCTTTAGGGGGTCACACACTGGGGAAAAGGTCAAATAATGATAATTGCCTTGCTTTTAAGTTCAAAGAGTATGTATTCCTTTGTAGAACCATTATTTCTATATATTTTAATGTAGATTCTTAAGTACTCTCTTTTTGGGTTCTTTTCTTACTCTCCAGTTCCGAAGGTTGAGGTGATGGATCGCAGGCTGGATAATCTTGTGGAGGAATTCAAGCAGTTGGTGTACCCACCAGGCTATGATCCTGACAGCAAAGCTACAAAGCGAAAACAAGGTGGGGTTTGAAGATTACAAAAAAGTTGTAGATATATCTCCTAATTACATATTCCTTGAATTGAAACTTTTCAAAATTCTTGCGTGGGTTTTAAAAGGCAGAGGGACTCATAGCCTGTGCTAATCCAACCACACACTAGTAATAAAAAACCATGTGGTTGAATTGCCATGAATTTTCTCTGAAACAGTAAAATATATATTGTTTGGATTAAAATATATACCACTCCTCACAAATAAGCCCCAGTTAAGATTGTCAGTCAAATGTAATGCAGTGTGATACTGCTTTAACCATCTTTGAATCATGGGAGTTGTAGCTTTAAAAGGTCTTTATACCCTTTTTGGTGCATCTCCATTGTAGAATTAGTGCAGTTTGACAGCATTTTAACTGCCATTGCTTATGGGAGTTGTTTTACAAGGTATTTATAGCCTTCTTTGCACAATAGTGCTGTTGCCTCACCAGCCCTCCAGAATTCTATTGCATTGAGCCACAGTAGTTACATTGATGCCAAACTGCATCCATTCTGCAGTGTAGAGATGCCTATTTTAAAGTGATGCTGTCACTTTAAGAAGAGATTATGAGGTCACCTGAGCACAAAATCCCAAGGAGGACCTCTCTGGCCTGCAAGCCCCGCTCTGTGACCTCCAGGCTCAGCAATAAGACATTTCTTAGAAATAAGCTCTAATGCATCTTTTGGAGTAAAAATTAAACTAAGACCTGGTTTTATTTTGGAGGAACCACAGTATTAAGCTATTTATGCCTTCTCACTTAAGATGAACTAAACAGATATTTTGTCATTCTGAGATTTTTGTAAAATATTTCAGTTATTCCAAGACCTGAGTAACAAACATCTAATTGAAAAATCTCTTTACAGCAGGGAATGATACTGAAAAGCCAGAAAAGAAACCCAAGATTGAAATCTCGGAGGAGGAACTGAGGAATCATGTTAAAAAAGGCACTTTGGGTAAACTTACAGTACCAGTTCTGAAGGAAGTGTGCAGGATTTATAAGCTGACAGGGGGTACAAAGAAACAAGAACTGTTAGATGTAGTGACTAACTATTTCAGTAAGCACTGAGTTCTGTGCACCTAGTCAGCTGTTCAGTCTCCGCAAGAGACTTTTCCTTAAGACTTCGATCTTGACAAGGGAGAAAAAAACAGTGTAGTTATAATTACATAGAAATATGTGCTGCCCTCCTCCCTGAGAGATTGATAGCACCTGGTTGGAATGGTTTACTGATAGAAAAATACTTTAGCCTACTTTTGGTTCTAGATTTCATGAAAATTTGTGACCTTTCTATATCTTTAATAAATACTATGGTTATTTATCTGTGTCTGTATTCTTTTAACTATTCCAGTACAAAATGATAAGCAGTGAAAAAGTAGCCTGTCAGAAGAACTAAGGTACCTATGTGCGAAAGCTAGTAATCTTTTAGCAACTTGATCTGTCCCGAAGGAAATTCAAAGCAACTTAACATAAAAGCATTGGAATACAATTTAAAATATAAAATTATGCAAACATTAAAACAGAATTAAATGTAAACAGTACTTAAAAATTCAAGGTTAAAATCCATTAAAACATGTTCAAAGTTTAAAACCACAGCACCCCCTGACATGATCTTATAAACCTTCCTCTTTAAAAGTCTGTCTGAATAAGAAGGCTTTAGCCTGCTGCTAGATGGACAGGAGGGAGGTGCCCATTCTGGCTTCCCTGGGCAGAGAGTTCCAGAATCTTGCGGGGCGGCCTCCAATAAAGCCTGCTCTCTTATTCCCACCAACCGAGCTTGAGATGGAGGTTGGACAAACAGAAGAGCCTCTCCTAAAGCTCTCGGGGCCTGGGCAGGTTTATACAAGGGGATGAAGTCAGCCAAATAGGCAGGATCTGAGCGGTCTAGGGCTTTCAAGGTCATAACCAGCACTTTGAACTGTGCCCGGAAACAGACTGGCAGCCAGTGGAGCTGCTGCAACAAGAGGTTTGTCTGCTCCCTGTAGCTGGCTCTTTGGACCAGATGAAGTTTTTGAGCACTCTTCAGAGGCAGCCCCAAGTAGAGTGCATTACAGAAATTCAGATGGGCATGAACCACTGTGGCCAGATCTGGCTTCTCAAGGAATGGGCACAGTTGCTACACAAGTTTTAATTATGCAAAGGCCCTTCTGACCACTTCTGACACCTGGTCCTCCAGGTTCGGAGCTGAGTCCAGGAAGACCCCCAAACTGCGGACCTGTGTATTCAGGGAGAGTGTACCCCATTTAGTGCAGGCTGAATCCCTATTCCCTGGTCTGCCTTCCAACTGATCAGGAATACCTCTGTCTTGTCTGGATTAAGTTTTGGTTTGTTTGCCCTCATCCAGTCCATTACTGATGACAGGCACTGGTTTAGGGTCAGGACAGCTTCCTTCGTTTTAGATGGAAAGGTATAGTAGAGTTGGTGTCATCTGCATTAGGGTTACACTGTAGTCCAGATTATCTCTCCCACTGGTTTTATATATATGTTAACAGTGATTCTCAACCTGTGGGCCCCAGATGTTTTGGCCTTCAACTCCCTGAAATCCTAACATCTGATAAACTGGCTGGGATTTCTGGGAGTTGTAGGCCAAAACACCTGGGGACCCACAGGTTGAGAACCACTGTGTTAGATAGTATGGAGAACAAAATCGAACCCCGAGGAACCGCACAAGTCAACGGCCAGGGGTTAGAACAGAAGTCCACAGCACCACCTTTTGGGTACAGCCTTTCAGGAAGGACCAGAGCCACTGTAAGATAGTGCCTCCCAGTCCCATCCCGACGAGTCGACTCAGGATACCATGGTTAATGGTACTGGAAGCCTCTGAGAGATCCAAGAGAACCAACAGGGTCACACTCCCTTTGTCAAGCTCTCTGCTGAGGTCATCCACCAAGGCAACTAAAGCTGTCTATTTCATGGCCAGGCCTGATACCAGATTGAATGGATCTAGATAATCTGATTCATCCAGAAATCTCTTGTGTTGGGAGACCACATGTTCCAAGACCTTGCTCAGAGAGGGAACGTTGGACACTGGCTATAGAGGGGTTTAGGGATAGCTTTTTAAATATGGGTCTCGCAACTGTCTCCATTAGGTAAGTTGGAGTTTTGCCTTGTTCTACTCTGCCAGTTCCCCTCTGGCTTGTTTGATCATCCAGGAAGGGCAAGGATCCAGAACACACGTAGTAGGTCTCATCTCTCCAAGGATCCTGCCCATGTTCTTAGGCTGCACAAATTGAGATATCCATCAATACTGGGCAAGCAGGGGCCAAAGTTACATCAATTGGAACTGTATCAATAACAGCACGCAAACAGGAATGGATCTGGGTGACTTTATCTGCAGGGTGCTGTGCAAATTCTTCACCGCAAGCAGCTGAATCGACAACGATGTTTCCTTGAGGACCAGTATGTAACAGCCCCTGACCACTTAAAACAGGTCAGCTGAATATGTATGCTTACACAAATAACCATGAAAGTGAGAATCAAATGACCTTTGTTTTTAGCTTAATATAGTGGCTTTCAACCTTTTTCTTCATGTGGACAACTGAGTGGTACTCAAAACCTTTTGTTTGTGGACTTCCCTATAAGCAACTTGGTTTGAACATGTCGCATACTGCTATTTTTATAATTTATGTTCACTATTTTTATAATTTATATTGGTTGCTTCTGTTATGGAATTAGAAGGTATGTGTTCCACCACATTAAACACACTGGATAACTTTGAGCCAATGACACTCATCCTGATCTACTTCTCTGGGATTATGGCAATAGAACACCCATATTTCCCACATTTAAGCTCAGTGAAGAAAAGTTGGGATATAAATGTGACAAATGTCAATAGGGAGGCCTGACTGTAATTGTTGTAACTAGGATAAGTGATTACTTATCCTAGTAACAGTATTAATGTCTTTCCAGCAAATGCTGCCATCTACTTCAACATCCCAGAGTTTAAACCTTGATGCTGTAGAATCCTGCAGGAATATTGAAGGGCAGGAGCAATGACAGAAAAAGCTGCACGAGGGCATGATGAGGGAGATGACTTGCTCTATTTCATGTAAGCCACTGAATCAAGGTACTAGATAGCAACATAGCTTTTCCATCAACGTGGAAAAGCTGTGTTCCTTAAGGACAGAAATGCTCCATGGGTTCATTCTGTCTTGCATTCACTAATCCCTTTTCTTCATGAGGGTTAACAATGATAAATCCAGTTTTTCACATTGGCACATTCTTTGTTAGGGGAGATGCAGGATGGATAAATGCATTAGGCTATGGAAAGCACTCACTTTGTATATGTATCCAGGCCATCCCAAGATGGACAAAATGTATTTATTTCCTTCTTGCTGGATAATGGGAATGCAATCAGATGAGTAGTAACACTAATTTTAAAACTACAAAATCAGCTTTTATCATCTCCCAATAATTTTAGCCTAATTTTAGATATGTTTTAATGAGATTTTAAGGATTTAATGTGTTTGTAATTATGTACATAGTCCTATATTTGGTTCACTTGAATTGTTTTGTTATTTATTGAGTTGTTTTTGATTTGTTTATATATTATTGTTGGCATTGAACATTTGCCACTGTGTATTTTGTTGTGAGCTGCCCTGAGTCCCCTTGGGGAGCTACATTCATTCAAATATATATTTGAAATAATAAAGCTTTGTGCTCCAATTCAGGAAGTATTTTAACCACTTACGTTACAGATAATTTACAACTTATCAATTGTAATTCATTTTAAAAGTTAAAGAACTGTCTTTGGCCACAAAAGTTGTAAAACTGCCATTTATTTCTTACAATACTCTTATCAAGGGTAAACACTGGTCTTTTCCATATTTGTTCATAAAAGCAGAGGATATAATAAAAATATCTTCAGAGGGCCATCATGTCAGCCATAAAAATATGCTTTCTATTTATTAGAACTCAAAGTAGTTAATGAGCAACTGATCTCCAAATAAAATTTCTCCATTGACAAAAAGGACAATTAACCTAATTTAATCCCACTAGACATACCTTCACGGAGATGATTTTAAATTGCCCGAGCATTCTTTTGTTAAAAAACTAAGAAACAGTATGACTGAGCAACAGAGATGGAAAATATTTATTTATTTGCTAAACAATAAAAAACTAAAAAGCACTGTACAAATAGCAAGATTTGGATAGAATGGTGAAACAAACATTTCAAATTATTTTTGTTTCATATGACTGGCCCAAGAGATCTAGACCAAAAGTCTTTCAATGGCTTGTTGTACAGACTGTATTTGGGGCTTCAGCTGTGAACCTTCTTTGATAGTAATGGAGCAAGCGATGACAGGCCGAGAAACACCACATGCCCGTCCCAGGGCCTGTCTGGAGCGTACAAACACATAGGGCACGTTTTTGTCTTCGCAAAGTAGTGGGAGGTGAAGGATGATCTCAAGGGGCTCAGCATCTGCAGCCATTACAATGAATTCAGAAATTCCTCTGTTCAAGGTTTTAGTGGCTGTGAGAAAAAAGAAACTGCAATTACTGTTCGCTTCCTTAAACTGCTGGGTTATATCCAATAAAGACAAATTAGCTGATAGGTTCAACATCAAATTAGTAAGCCTGTACAAATCTTGCCAAAAAAACCTTGTGATAAGTTTGCCTTATGGTTTGCCATAAACTGGAAAAACCTAAAGGCACACAACAAAAACAAAATCAGACAACCATACAGTTGAGAGGAAGTACTCAATATTTTATCCACAGGCATCAATACAAAAATGTTAGACATTACAAAAGAGCTTTCCAAATATTTCATGCTGATGACACACATTTTGGAAATTTCGCAACATGGTAATTCAGTTTTACTAGCAAAACTGTAAGTCAAACTAACCTCTTATAATAATAACTTTTATTTATGATCCACCTCTCCTGATGTAAGAGGTATGATCACAGACATAAACTGTAATAACGAAATGTATGAGGACACAACATATGAAAATCTTTCATTTATATATTTAAAAGTATCTTATTTGTAAACGTCAAAAAAACCAAGATTATGGCAACAAGAATGATTGACAACTGGAAAATAGAGGGAGAAACCGTGGAGGCAGTGACAGACCTTGTATTTCTAGGTGCAAAGATTACTGCAGGCGCAGACTGTAGCTAGGAAATCAGGAGACACTTACTTCTTGGGAGAAGAGTCATGTCCAATCTCGATAAAATAATGAAGAGTAGAGACATCACACTGACAACCAAGATCCGCATAGTTAAAGCAATGGTATTCCCTGTAGTCACCTACGGATGTGAGAGCTGGACCTTAGGGAAGGCTGAGCGAAGGAAGATCGATGCTTTTGAACTGTGGTGTTGGAGGAAAGTTCTGAGAGTGCCTTGGACTGCGAGAAGATCCAACCAGTCCATCCTCCAGGAAATAAAGCCCGACTGCTCACTGGAGGGAAAGATACTAGAGACAAAGTTGAAGTACGTTGGCCACATCATGAGGAGACAGGAAAGCCTAGAGAAGACAATTATGCTGGGGAAAGTGGAAGGCAAAAGGAAGAGGGGCCGACCAAGGGCAAGATGGATGGATGGCATCCTTGAAGTGACTGGACTGACCTTGAGGGAGCTGGGGGTGGTAACGGCCGACAGGGAGCTCTGGCGTGGGCTGGTCCATGAGGTCACGAAGAGTCGGAGACGACTGAACGAATGAACAACAAACACGTGGAGCCTGCAGAGGTGGAACGGTTTAAACCACTGAGCTGCTGAACTTGGTGCTCAAAGATTGATGGTTTGAACCCGGGGAGCGGGGTGAGCTCCTGCTGTTAGCCCCAACTTCTGCCAACTTAGCAGTTTGAAAACATGCAAATATGAGATCAATAGGTACAGCTCCAGTGGGAAGGTAACGTGCTCCATGCAGTCATGCCAGCCACATGACCTTGGAGGTGTCTATGGACAATGCCTGCTCTTCGACTTATAAATGGAGATGAGCACCAGAGTCTGACACAACTAGACTTAATGTCAAGGAGAAACATTAGATTTTGTCATTTCTCGTTAGATCTGCATGACATACTGCCACACTGTAGCCGACACGGTAATATGACATGACTCAGTTTGGAAAGCTCTGTACTATAAGTATGTGAAATGTTCTCGAACAAACGAATAACCAAATCTCACCTTCATTAGCACCTCTGCGTAACTGTTTGTAGTTACAGGATTGCTGCACAAGATCTAGGAGAGTCTTGGTGAGTTGAGCGTCTGCAAGTGGATAAGCCTTCGGATTTACTTCTGCCTCGTTCTGCAGAAAGGAAGAGGAAATTCAGCCATAGGAAAGTGAACGGTCTTTAAGTCTGCAACCATGGGAATCTGCTTCACATCCAACTGTGTAAGGTCTATAGCAGGGGTCCTCAAACTTTTTAAACAGAGGGCCAGGTCCCAGTCCCTCAAACTGTTGGAGGGCCGGATTATAATTTGAAAAAAGCATGAATGAATTCCTATGCACACTGCACATATCTTATTTGTCATGCAAAAAACACTTTAAAACAATACAATAATTAAAATTAAGAACAATTTTAACAAAAATAAACTTATTAGTATTTCAGTGGGAAGTGTGAGCCTGCTTTTGGGTGATGAGATAGGATTGTTGTTGTTGCTGTGTGCTTTCAAGTCATTTCAGGCTTAGGTTGACCCTGAGTGAGGGCCAGGTAAATGACCTTGGAGGGCCGCAATCGGCCCTCGGGCCTTAGTTTGAGGACCCCTGGTCTATAGCTTTCACTGTAATGCCGGCACCTCACCAAACTACAACTCCCAGGATCCCATAGCACCGAGCTATAGCAGTTAAGAGTGGGGTCAGACTGCATTAATTTCACAGTGCAGATGTAGCCCTGATCTCGGAGAAAAGGCGAGATTCAGTGCTTTAGTACTTTTTATTTATTGCGTCAGAAGCTAATTGAGAATACAATTAATAACTTTGGAGCCATAACTTAGAGCTTTAGCACTGAAACATAGCGTTGGAAGAGACCTCATGGGCCATCTGGTCTAACCCACTGCCAAGAAGCAGGAACCTGCATTCAAAGCACCCCCGACAGATGGCCATTCAGCCTCTGTTTAAAAGCTTCCAAAGAAGGAGCCTCCACCACACTCCGGGGCAGAGAGTTCCACTGCTGAACAGCTCTCACAGTCAGGAAGTTCTTCCTCATGTTCAGGTGGAATCTCCTTTCCTGTAGTTTGAACTACAAGAAAGTCCAACATTATCCTGTACGTGGATAATAAAGCTTAATACTATCTGCGTGCACTTTTGAGATGGAAAGGAAATATTGATTTCTGAAATTACATCGAAGTAGCATTAAACCAGGCCCGTTCCAGTGCTGCACAGGCCACGTGAGGACACTCTTTTCGGCTCAGCACGTGGTGGAGCCCGCACTTCCCTGGAGCCGAAAGCGAGAGCCTCGTGAGGGGAAAAAGGAAGCGAATGGGATGGCGCTCTTCGTAGACTCCGCTCCACTCACCATGTTGCCCCGATCCGTTCAGCCCGGGAGTTTCACGGAGGAAATAAATGCGGAACGCAAGGAAAACGCACTGCCGGAAGTGACGTCTGAAGGAAGGGGCCAGGCTATGACAGCACACGCCTCCCCCTGCTTTTCTTGGCAAGGTCTCTCCACAGCGACCCCTAGGGGCGGGATGCTTGAAATGGCAAGTGGGAAGACAGGAGCGAGGAAGGGCTTTTGCCTGGGCTAAGTGCGCATGCGTGCTTCTGGCTAGGACCAGCGCGCATGCGCACAAGCAATGCCGCCAAATTTGACGCCTCCTCTATCTCTTTCTCTGAGGAGAAGGCGCTATTGGTCAAAATGGCGGCGGGTGCTGCTCCCTCAGCGGAGCCTTTGGTTTGCGCACGGTTTCACCTTCGTCACGACCCCCGCTGGTTGGTGGCGCTCTCGCCTTCGCCGCCGCTGTGCTTGGCCTGCGCCCTGGAGACGCTGAAAGAGGGCGGCGTCTCGGTGCGTGTCCTTGAGGGCTCCCTGTCGTCGCCTCAGGCCGCATTCCCTGCCTCTCCGCCTTCTTCCCTCAGCCCGAGTGTGAGGCGCCGAGGAGCGTATCCGCGGACCCTCCTCAAACTGGTTTTTCAAAGCTAGTAGATGTCAGAGCAGAGAGGAGGACAGTCGCCAGAGTTGGAAACGCCTCCATGGACCTCCTTCACATCCAGTCGCAATATTGTAGCTAAAATAATAGGAAATTTGATAAAAGCAGCTACAGTAGACTAAGGGCCCTGCCACACAGTCCTTTATCCCAGAATATCTAGACAGAAAATCCCACAATATCTGCTTGAACTGGGTTATCTGTGTCCACACTCAGATAATGTGGGATTTTCTGCCTTGATATTCTGGAATATTGGACTGTGTGGAAGGGCCCCCAGTTAACTGTCTCCCAGAGGGATTGGTTTGTTGTTTATTCGTTCAGTCGCTTCCGCTCCCTGTCGGCCGCAGAATCATAGAGTTGGAAGAGACCTCATGGGCCATCCAGTCCAACCCCCTGCCAAGAAGCAGGAATATTGCATTCAAAGCACCCCTGACAGGTGGCCATCTAGCCTCTGTTTAAAAACCTCCAAAGAAGGAGCCTCCACCACACTCGGCAGAGTTTCACTGCTGAACGGCTCTCACAGTCAGGAAGTTCTTCCTCATGTTCACATGGAATCTCCTTTCTTGTAGTTTGAAGCCATTGTTCCATGTCCTAGTCTCCAGGGAAGCAGAAAACAAGCTTGCTCCCTCCTCCCTGGTTTTGTTTGTTTGTTTGTTTGTTTGTTTTGTCATATCAGGAGTAACTCCTGCACAGGGGATGCCTGGATGATTTGATGTTTTGTATCATCCTTCTGGGAGGCTTCTCTCATGTCCCCGCATGAGGAGCTGGAGCTGATAGAGGGAGCCCATCCGCCTCTCCCCAGATTTGAACCTGCGACCTGTCGGTTTTCAGTCCTGCCTCCTCTGGACACATTCCAGCTTGTCAACATCTCTCTTCAATTGTGGTGCCCAGAATTGGACACAATATTC